ATCGATAGTTCACCTTCCAGTGATGCAAGAATCATGTCCAAACTTGCAGTCTTCAACTGAGTACCTGGTTCCAAAAAGATTGCGTTCAACATGTTCAACTGAGTATGTACACCAAATCCTTCGGCTTGTGTTCAAAGCTTTAATCCCTTGGTTAGTTAAAAGAAGGGCTGTGACCCAAGTTATCTTAAAACTGGTTCGTTTATTATTGATTACCTATCAGGAGTTCTGTTTGACCGACATATTTGCAGTCAAGTGGGATATTGACCTACATTTGAACATGTCTGATCACTGTGCATTGGATGACTTCCAGCATCTGCTAGTTGCATTTGTAGTCACGCCCCACTGGTGATATGCACCCAGCTGGGAGAGCACTGCTGGCTTCTGATTCCTTTCTTCATCTTTCTGAGAGTAGGACTCCTGGAGTGTTCTTGAATACTTCTCATAAAAAGCATGTACCCCGGTATTATTTTGTTCCAAATAACCCACAAATCATTGAGAAGGTGTTTCAGCTAAAAATATCAGTCTAAATATGGTTTGGAGGTATTTGAGTGCTGGGAAATATAATCGTGACTAGATATATTGGACTGGAAAGTGTCCTAGTGAATTATACACATGGCTGGTGTACATTGTACTTTGCATTCTTGCATAATGGATGCATTTGTGGCTCATCTGCTATAGTCCTGGCTGTTTTATTGATTCTGATTCAGTGTTGCCAGGAAAAGCAGTTAAGTTCCTTTTCATCCATGTTATTAATGATACTGGGGGTGAATGCATTGTACTGAGTCAACATAGGCGTTAGACATGATGGTCTTGATGGAGTCTTACAGAGTCTTGCTTAATTCCGTTGGATACAGTCACACGACCCATATTGATTACCATGATTACACAGTGTCCTACAGGACAAAACATTCATTATGTCATATGTTATACACAACTCTGACTACACAGTTATTACTTTGATGGTAGACATAATTGAATGCATGAAAAAATGTTCCTGATGCAGTCAAAGACTTAATGATTAAGCAGTTCATGCTTCAGGCATGGGACTTGTTTTAGACTAGCATTAGACTTTGTTTTTTTCCGAACCAGAAGTGGTATCATTAAGACTGAAGTTCCTATAGGCTCTTGAGATGCATGTTGAGGTTGCAAACAACAGCCGTCTAGTTTATTCTAGGTGTGTGATAAATGATAAGGGGTGTGTCATGTCACGGTTCAGCATGTTCATTGGTAAGAATATGAAAATACTGGTTAACAGTTTGGGGAGTGAGTAGACAAATAAGACAATTGTTTTTTATTCTGTTTTTGCCTGTCCTTGTTATGGTAAATGATTTGGTGATACCAGGTCTGTGAACATGGTGAGTCATGAAATAGAGTGATAGATGATAGACATCAGCAGGAGAGGGTTGAGAAATACACATAGCCAGAGGAGATGTCATCAGTTAAGTGCATGATCATGATAATAGGTGTCAGGAGAAACAATTGGTCTTTCCAGATTCACTTATTTTGGGACTAGTAACCGTTGCCATGATGGAATTAGAATGTATTGGCAGGATTGGAGAGAGTGTTATTTTTTATTTACACTTCTTAAATATCTTGAGTGTGTTCAGCATATTTTCAGCCCAGGTAATCATGGCCATTCTTTGTTTTATTATGTACTTCATATTTCAGGGATTTATGAAGTGTCTTTAGAAAGCAAATTTGGAAACAATCCATATTTTGTTCAAAATTGGAATCAGGCCTTGAAATTCTAGCCTAGTTTGGCAAGGATGGAATCTGGTCAGTTAACGCCCTTGCCTCTGGAAGATGGATTATCCATGATTAACATGTATAACTATGCAGTATACTTTAACATGAAATTGCAACTATTTAGTTCTTTATTTAGGAATTTTTACTGACATTTGCTGCAGATTTGGGGACAAATATCGGCCTTGAAGCAGATAAATCACTGTGTATAAAAAATAATGACCCTTTTTGTACACATGGGCAGGAATCATTTGAGGATCCATAGATTTTGTGTTTCTTTTATGGGAGAAACATTTCCAGGCAAAGGGTTTATGACTGCACCAGCTGAGCCAGCAGCAGCTGACGAACTGATATTGACTATCGTCAATCATGTGTCAATATCAGTGTTGTCCATGTTGCACTGCTGGTGTTGACTTCCAGTGCCGGATCAGACACTGGTGGAATGTTGTGTGATGTTATCATGCTTTCAAACATTCAACAGGATCGTTGATTGCAATTGTAACTAAATTATTAGGTTGTTGATTGAGGAAATGATAAACAGTTTACAACTGATTGTTGTGTTTTTTGTGTTTTGTTGTGTGTTTGGATGCTCAAAATGAAAGAGGACTTATGGATTGCAAGAGAGAGTATTTTCCCGCAGATCTGATAGTTTGTCATGCCATTGGAGATCTATAACTTTCTCATCATATGTCACAATGTTTGAAATTTCATTAAATTAAGAATATCATAATAAATCTATTTGAAAACAGCAGTCCTGTTGAAAAGTAGGATCATTTCCTTGGGAACGTCTTGAAACGAAACAATGTATAAACATGATAAAAGCCTTAAATTTGGTTAACTGGGATAGAGAACTTTAAGCATAGTAAATTATTTTAAGCCTATCTACACAGTGTTTTGTGTGAAATGGTATGTGTAGTGTATCATATTGCAATCAGTGCATCCTTTTCAAAGCTCCTAACCATGCTAAATGTGGTCATACCTCATCATGCTCATCTGCGTTATGACCTGTGACGTTTAGGAAGATGTCATGCAATGGGATGGAATTGGCTTCGTAGCATGTCATATGTTGACTTCTAATTTTCAATGATAAATAATATCAAGAGGAGTAGGTGGAGAATTTTTGTCATGTTATGCTTATGATATTGTGTAGTTAAACCATTCTTGTGTCGAAATTAAAGAACCACGCTACAGAATATGTATTTACTAGAACAGCCAATCGAGAGGGTGTAGTTGCTGGTAATATCAACAATGAAATTCCACTGGAACTTCAGTGGAAGTAACACCTTTGTAACCATGTCAACTCTCGCTTAAGTAATACATGAGCTCATGTTGAATGAAATTTTGAATAAAGTTTATAAATATGCTACAAACATAAGTCCAGATAAACAACGAACATGTTTTTATAACCATATATCATCAACAGTGTAATGATAGGACAAAATTGTCTAAATAGACTTCAGTTCGGATTTATTAATTGACATTTCCGGTGTTGCATGCTCGCAGTGATCAGCTGGTAATGTTTTATGTGATGTAGAAAAGACATCATGTTATTGCAAAACTTGAGTTTACAAAAAATGTTCATAAATTTAGGGAGCCAAGCGTTACCTCGCTCTATATTGAAGGGCGCAATAGCGAGGGATCACTTTACTGAACATGAATAAATAAGACAAATGGGTCAGTTGCATTCTTTTATTACAGAAAAAATCCATGGAGGACAGGTGTATCTCTGATTGTCAGTTCTGTAAATGTAACATTTTACTGAATTTATCAGCTTGATTTTGGGCAGGTGCATTTTAAAATAGTCATACTTGCCCTTGGTCAAGTAACATTTTTCATAAATTTCAACAATGATACAACCAGGCAATTAAAAGGTATGACAATGTTTGTTTAGATCAGACATTGGGGAACCACATTCACTGAACATTTTATGTAAAAAAAACAGTCAGACTTGGTGATTTGTTTGATGCATGTCATCGTATCCCAATTGCGTAATTCAATGCTCATGATTTTTATCACTGGATTGTCTTGTCCAGAGTCGAATATTGGAATAATGGCTGCAGCATTTAACAACAAACAAAATATGATAAATATTCTTTTGCTGATGACTTTAACAATAAAACTAAACTGCAGGGTTAAAAATTTACACTGGCCTGCTAACTCGGCACTAGCACAAATTCCTGCGGGCTTGTACAAAATTCCCAATTTCCCCATTGTTTTAACATTCCTAGGGCAATTCATCTTTACCTGGCCTAGTAAAACTTTTAGGTCTAGTTCTAACCCTGAACTATAATGCATGTTGTGTTCAATGACATGTGTTGCCCCCACAAGACGTAAATCAATATTCTGAAATGTCAAAGTAATCATTATGATACGGTGGTTGAGTATGGCTGTTAGTACTGCATATATAATAATGTTCATTCCTGGCTTGACCAATGTTATTGCATGGGCATTTCTGAGATTCTGATCAATGTCATCAATGATAAATAAACCCACTCCTGCAAATTCATTGCTACATCTTTTTTCTTCTTTCGGGATAATAAAACATGATAAAACATGTCATACATTTTGTGTCTGATTTGAGTCAGACCCGTGAATGAACTTTTACACAAATCAATTCATACAGCATGTCCAGTGTTCTCAGATGAATATTGTGACCTGATTCTGCAGCACTAGTTGAAGGTTGACCTATTGTGGGGATGGTGAGAGAAGATCTTTGGTTTATTAATCTCTTTTGATGACTCTCACTTCCAGAGCTGTTACATTTTTGGTTGGTGGCGAAATCGGAACCTCAGTTTATATTTGATGCCTTAATTGTTAATGTCTCTACTGTTTGCAGCTGTATTAACATGGTTATAATATGACCAGACACACATGGAGTCTTGAATGATAGGGGGGGCACGGGTGGCCCAGTCATCTAAGGTGCCGCGATTTGCTGTGCAGAGTTGCGTCACTTGGCCATGCCAGAAACCTATGATTGTGGGTTCAATTCCCAGTTTGCCCCGATTATGTTTCTAGATCTGTCAGCACTATACCCTTGCTCATTGGTTTCACCGAAGTGGTAAACGTCTGAGACCTGCATCACTTCGGGCTTTCCTCCCACATTAAGCTGACAAGCGGTGATATAACTGGAATACTGTTAAAAGCGGCGTTAAACCCAACTCACTCACTCACTCACTCACTCACTCACTCACTTGAATGATAGCATGTCAAGCTACTCACTTAACTCATTCACTCACACGGCTTCACTGTTGTTTCAGAATACTGCCACTGAATCATGGGCTGCGGAGACTGTCTAGCCGGCTGTGCCAGAGTGTTACTCATTGTCTTTAACTTCATCTTCTGGGTAAGTCATTGCCCTGTGTTGGGCAGGAATTTGTATGTTAAGAGATATATATCATTTCAAGGCTTGATGGAAGCCTGTGTATTTAAGGGTGGGTTATGTCTATGACTTTCTGTGTTCACAAATACTTTCCAGTGTGTATTCAACCCCCTGACAAGTCAGATGTTGCCATAACTACACATGCTAATATCTGACATTGTTCAATATGTTCAAAGGAAATATGCACAAATGTTTCTTTATTTTGTCAGAACAAGAATAATGAGATACTGTAATTTATCATCCAAAACTGGCTCCCATAGGAGATATGGATATCTAGATTTTGTTACTTGCCCGTGAAGAGATCACTTGTTTAATAAACATACAGCTGTATTACACTGTGTGTAGTTCCAAAGCATGTGCTAATATACTGTGGGAACAAGTTTCACGAACAAATATTGAAAACTCTCAACATCCCTGGGCTTATTCAACGACATTGCGTATAGAGATGATAGATCACTAAAAGATGCTTATGCACCCTCGATGACCCAGGCAACGCTGTTGCTAGGCTGACATCACATGGCATTGTTCCGCCGGAGGATCTTGCAACACCAATTCACAAATTACGTCATCAGGTCATAGGGTATTGTGACGTGATTGTAAACATGGTGCAGGACCCCGTTCCACAACGCGATCATAGCATCATGACAATTGTACGCCTAGGTTTATGGGAGTTATTGACAACCTTAGCACTACGATAACTTTCTGGAAGGAATCCTGAATTCTAGAGGTAGGCGGTTGCATGGTATTAAATTAATATGTGTCAACTTTTGACGAGTTTGAAGTATTGTTTTGTTAAACTCAATTGGATTATGCTGTGAATCGTGAAGATGTCTGCCTTTATTCACACACTGCATTGAAATTATTAAAAAAAAGTTTTAAACGGCAAGTAATAAATAAAAGTAATAATGCAACTCTTGAATAGTTCTGGTATTTGACGAGCGAAAACTCATCAGATACCAGAACTATTCACTCGTTTCATAAAATTGGTATTACACAGGACTCTTCTACTGAAGCTGTAAGCAGTACTTTTTGCACTTAAGACACTGCTTTTTACTATATCTACAATAATTAATCAATTAAAAAGTTGGACAAATGATGTTGGATGATAAATCTCACCCTCGTGTCTTTTTATATCAAATATATCAACACAAGTTGCTAAAAGTGGAAAAACTCCAAGGTTTTTAGAAATTAAGATTGTCATCCATATCATCGATCTATATGATCCTGCATAGTAGCTTTCAGTATATGTTGTTTTCTGCTCCTCAGCTGTCTGGGGCAGCCATCTTGGGTATTGGGATTTGGTTCCTCGTTGACCCCAACATCCAGTCGTACCTGGATGTCATCCAGGTCAAAGGTGAAGGCGAGCTACTTAAATATGCAGCATATATCTTCATCGCATTCGGTGCTTTCGTCTTTGCTGTTGGATTCTGTGGATGCTGTGGGGCCATCAGAAACAGCCAGTGTCTGCTTGGCTTTGTAAGTTTGAAAAGTTCCTTCTTTGAACTTATTCACTCAGGGAGGAAGTACAGTAAACTACGGTTATAACGAACACGCTTATAACGAACTGACGGATATAACGAACTTACTTTTTGGTCCCGACTATTTGCTGTATATATGCTTATAACGAACTACGGTTATAACGAACTAAAATTAGTAGTCCCTTTGAGTTCGTTATAACCGTACTTTACTGTACTTTCAACTCTGTTGTTTTTTTCACCAAAACTTTATTCTAATAAGAGCTCCCTATTTTTAATTTTTAGAGCGCCCTGGGCGCTTATTAGGTCAAATACAGTATATTCAGAGAAATCTTGGTAGCTCAAACTCACTTTCCCATGTTATGTAAATATGTCTTTTCTGACTGTGGAACAAGAGAAAAAAATAGTTGAAAAAATTACCTGTCTTCTTTTAACATGTTTGTAAAGATGAGAATAAAGACATCATGCAGGGAGTTGAAGCCTGATGTCAGTGTGTTTGTTGTTTCAGTACATCTTCTTCCTGGTGGTCGTGTTTGCTGGTGAGCTAGCTGCTGGTATCCTGGTGGCTCTCTACAGAGGAGATGTGAGTTGGCATCACACATTTTCCCTGCTTATATGTTCAACTGTACTCAGAACTTGTTCTTGAAATCATTTGTGTCTATGGCTAAAACCTGGGCTGACCTCTTGCACACTGAATCCAAACAACAATCTGGAAGTACGATATCACTGCTCATTTTGGGTATGGCCATTTCACAGAACCCTGACTTGTCTCAACAAAACAATTTGCTCAAGTGACTCAAATATATGCGTCATCATGTAATGGGGGGCACGGGTGGCCCAGTCGTCTAAGGCACTGCGATTCGCTGTGCAGAGTTGCGTCCCTTGGGCACGCCAGAAACCTATGATTGTGGGTTGGAATCCCGGTTCGCCCCGATTATGTTTCTAGGTTTGTCAGCACCATACCCGTGCTCGTGGGTTTCACCGAAGTGGTAAATGTCTGAGACCTGCATCACTTGGGGCTTTCCTCCCACATTAAGCTGACACGCCATGATATAACTGTAGTACTGTTAAAAGCGGCGCTAAACCCAACTCACTCACTCACTCATCATGTAATGTCGACAACATTGTTTTTTTCCTATTACACAATGACTTCTATGTGAGGCTGAGAACTTGTCAATCAACCCTTGCAAATACTTAGAAGAGACAGGAAATGTTTGTGGAAAGAGAGGGAGAGAGAGGGAAAAAGTTGTTTGAAGGGGGAGAGAAATGCATTGGTTACTACTGTACCAACAGCAAACAAAATAAAATGTTTGTGTGATGCCTTACAGTTATTATGGATGGGTATTTCCTTGTTTGAATTGAAACTTGGCCTCAATTTTCTGTGCAGAGTTACGTCCTTTGGGCACGCAAAAAAACCTGTGATTGTGGGTTCGAATCCCAATGTTTCTAGGTTTGTCAGTACCATAATCATGCTTGTGGGTTTCACCAGAGTGGTAAATGTCTTGAAACCTGCATCACTTTGGGCTGGAATACTGTTCAATATGGTGTTAGAACCAACTCACTCATGCACTTTAGGACCAGTGAAACCCTGGTTGATGTGCTGCACATGTCTGTTGGTTCATGTGAAGTAGACCATTAGGACTATAGCAGTGAACTGGAGACCAATGGAATGGACTAAATGACTTTGCATCTGGACAAGGAAGAATAATAATGAAGTCAAGTAGAGATACTTTATTCTCATCACTATGGTTGGCTGAAATATAGCAGATGTCACATTAAATGTTAAGTTACTCACACTCAATAGCTTTGTATTGTGTATAAGTGGGACTTGTTACCACTGGGATGTGGATCACTGGGATGTGGATCACTGGAAGCCATATCTTTCCTGGTTATGACCTTTTTCAGTAAGAGGACCGTGTGGATCACTCTTCACAATATCAATCACTGGATTGTCTGGTGCAGACTCAATTATTTACAGGACACTGTGATATAGCTAGAATATTGCTGAGTGATTAAACAACAACAAATAAATTAATTCAGTAACTTGTTTATAGCAACCTTCCCAGTAGGGGAAGAAGGCACCCTACAGCTTCAGGGAAAGTTGGCAGAAAATATATGTTCTTACAGGATACGATTGCGTTAAAGTGTTAAATGAGCATTCTAAACTTTCCCTTTTTTATGAGGTTGTGTCATGAATATACATGCAATGTATTTTGATTGACACATTTTCATAATTGAAATTGTGAATAATAAATACAATATTCAGGTAAGTTCACATATTCCACTTGAAGATACTGAACCATATAGTTTTTCTTGTAGCTGGAAACCAAGCTAGAAGCGGAACTGAACAGGAAAATCAAGGAAGAATATGATTTCGCCAACAGGTCTTCAGTTGGAGATGCAATTGACAAGGTGCAGATAGAGGTAAGCCTGTCATTCTATCAGCTTTGTCCTCATCCGAGGTAGAATAGCTCTTCAGCAACCCATGCTTGCCGTAAAAGCAACTATGCTTGTCAGAAGAGGTGACAAACAGGATTGGGTGGTCAGGCTCGCTGACTTGGTTGATGCATGTCATTGTATCCTAATTGCGTGGACCGATGCTCATGATGTCAATCACTGGATTGTCTGGTCCAGACTCGATTATTTACAGACTGCCAACACATAGCTGGAACATTGCTGAGTGCGGCGTTAAACAACAAACAAACATGATTAAAACTGAATCTAAAACTATAACTGACGACTATAAATGTAAATATGTATTGTAGCACTGGTGTTTTACACGGCAACTGGTAATGAAATACACTCGTTCATTGAACAACTAACTGGTAAGACTGCCTGCATGGTCTAGTGGATAGAACATCTGCCCATAGAGCAGAAAGTTGTTGGCTCTATCTCCGGCCATGCAAACCAAAACATGTTAAAAGATGGTGCTTGTTGTTACCCTGCCTGGCGCTCAGCATTAAGTGGATAAAACAAGGACTGGTCGGCTCGAGTATACTGTTTCTGAGTGGGTACCCATTGTAAACTGGCAATGTTTCTCTGGATTAGCACTAAGAAATGACATTAGTGCAGACTAGTACAATCACACGCACTCACACACCTGTTGCTATGTCAGTGCAATAATCTTGAACAAGACATTGAACCCTGTTTTTCCTAACCCCTACTTCTACTCCTACCAGTAAACATGTTAATTTCAGCTATGTCATATTGAGTACAATTGTGCCTGGTTTTCTAGATTCTTGTTGCTTTAGATCCTAGTGGAGGGCTGACAATGTTACTGGGTGGGGGACACAGGTGATGCCGTCGTCTAAGGCACCATAATTCAATGTGCAGGATTTGTGCCACTGGTGTGCCATGATCCTGTGATGCTGTGTTCAAATTCCAGATTTGCCCACGTTTTTAGGTTTGTCAGGACCATACCCATCTTTGTAGGTTTCACCAAACTTGACCCTCATCACTTCAGGTTTTAGTCTCCTCTTACGACAAGTATAGTCGCCTTTTACGGTAAGCATGGCTTGCTGAAGATCTATCTAGAATGCTGACAGCAACTCTAAAATCAGATGACCTTTTTGTTGTCTTCACTGCTATGTTTTTGTTTCAGCTTGTGTGTTGTGGTGGAACAAACTCATCGGATTATGTTAACAGCAAATGGAGCATCACTACAAAGGTAAGTATTTGAGAACCATCATTAAATATCCTTTATATAAACTATGTTGGATGGGTATTATTATGATGACCCTTATTCACATAAGATGGTCAACCAGTCTTCAGTCCTTGGGATAATATGAACTTGAGCATTTTGAGATGAACATGTTATTCTTCTACCACTAGGACAATGTAGTAGTGTAACGGTATAATCATCTATCAGTGTCTTGCAATTGTTTGGTCTATGATTGTACTATATGGACAGGAATGAAAATTGATATTGCCAATAATATGCATAAGAATCGATAGTTTTAATTGTTGCAAATAGTTACAAATAAAAACAATTTTGCTTCAGAAAACTTTTTAACGGTCAAATTTCAAACCTGTCGTTTGTTGATAGCAAGGATTACGCCAACTTTCAATTAGAGTTACTTCTCTTTGGAAGGGTGAAAAAAGGCAAACTTTGAGGTTGGGGGAATTACTTTATTAATTTGTGTTACATTGATTAATATAATTATCAAGAGTTAAAGTTGGTTTAATACCATCTACAACCAAGGAAATTCAGAATTCTTTTCTTTTCCCACCAACAAAAACCTGCATTAGGACACATTTGAACTGATGACCACATAACCACTAAAGAAGGTATTTTTTGAAACCACACATTTCCCAAACACTAGGCAATTCCAAATGCTGATAATTAATATTGTGAAAATATACTTTGTATTTCCCCGAAAATAGAATTTATTTGTGTACTAACATAAAGATCACTCAGTGTTTGAAATTAAGGGATGAGGGTCTGGGGTGGTTCTAGCAGAGACCATATACCGATATATGGTCTCTGGTTCTAGGAATCTGTTCCTAAGTTATTTGAATCGAGGCACCTGCTACATTTTCACCTTTAAGCATTATGGTTATGGGAAATTGTTTGTCCAATGTGAGGTACCGGTACTTATTTTTTAGTTAAAACAGCGTTAGTACTTCAGACCATTTGTAGACTAAGGTGACTAAGGTGTTGGTCATTTTATATTTGAGCAAGAATACAGAATACTGAATACCTTTGGCTGTATTGGTAAAGAATGTGTAGCTCCTTCCTTAGCCTTGCTAAAATAACAGGGGTACCCACCAAAGCAATGAAAAAAAATTTGTGGAAATGTGGCCATCATGGATGTAACTGGTGAGATTGCCGCACGCAATTATGGAACTTCTATTTTCAAGTAATGTTTCCATGTTAATGCCCAATAGATGTTTGTGAATTGCTTTGATATTAAATTTTGAGGTTAAATCATATTAAACCCTACAAATGCATCCATAGTAATTTCTTTCTGCATATTTTGAGTTTCAGCACCCTTTTCTAAAACTAGTCATGCTGCTGCATGCCATAACAAACATGGCAGATAGGTGTCTGGTATTCTGTAGATGTATTGTGTGATGTTGCTTTCAGCTTGTCTACCCTGAATCCTGCTGCACCAGGGGTGTTAACGACGAGGTGGTCGACAAGACTCAATGTCAGGCAGGGGCAAGCTCCTACAATAAAAGGGTTGGTACTTCATGTAGTGCATTGGAAAATGCATAAGAACCTTGAGAACTGATGCACAATGCTATTTGAGAGTAACTCATATTCTGGATCCTCTAAAACGTTGGTGATAAGAAATATATGATTAATTTGGGTTTTAATGCCAAAATCATTTCAACCCTTCTCAACCATGTGAACATCCAAACTACCATCCTTTTTGTTAAAGATATCCCGGCATACATAGAGGATATTTCATGTGTTGAGTGTAATATCATGTTTCTCTCATTGAGTGAGGGGGGGGGGGGGAGAAGATATTTTCACGAGTGGTGTAGCCATGAGTTAAAATATACGGAATTGCAAAAGAAACATCACCATGGATAGATATATGAGAAACTTTATTTGTCCGAACACTGTGAACATGCTTTGAGACATTTTAAAAAGATGAAACTTGGCAAAACTGAACATCAAGGTTGAAAATAAAGTGTCAAATGTTCTTAAAGTGAAACACAACACTAGTCTCTGAGAAAATGGCATCAAAAGTCAGTATCTCATGTGTCCGCCATGTGCATTGATAACTGTCGTGCAAGGTCGATACATGGAATGGATTAGGCGGTTGATGAAGGCCATAGGCACTTGAGCCCACAGTCTGAGGAACGCCTGATGCAGTTCAGCTGCAGTTGTCGGCCTTGGTCGGACATCATTCAGCTGCCTTTGAATCTTGTCCCACAAGTGCTCAATGGGATTTAAATTGGGATCGAGGACAGGCCATTGCATGGTTCTGATGCCATTCTTCTGGAGGAAGTCTCTTGTTGCTCTCGCAGTGTGGGCACGGGCGTTATCATGCTGAAACTCGTGGTTGCGGCGACGTGCCAAATGAGGCATGGCGTGTGGTCTCAAGACTTGATCAATGTACCGAGCTGCTGTGACACCATTTCCTCTCCCTGGACCGATGTTCAGGAAGACCACAGGGCCGACCTTCTGTGCAAGACCAATTCCAGCGGAAGGTTCGGGGTTCGATCCGTGTCATACCAAAAGACGTTAAAAGATGATACTTGTTGTTACACTGTCTTGCGCTTGGCATTAAGGGGCTAAAACAAGGACTGGTTGGCTTGGAGTCAGTATACTGTGTCTGAGTGGGGTATTCATGTTAAACTGCGACATGGTATCTCAGTGTGCTAGCACTATAAATCGGCCTCAGTCCGGTCTAGTACAAGCAGCCACCCACACATACATGTGCATGCACGTCGGAATATAAGTACAATAATCTTAGACGCAATGTTAAACACCATTTCACCTCACCATACTGCTATAGTTAATCTGTCATTCCATGACTGATTAACTATAGTAATATGAAAAATATGTTCTTTAACTTCTTATGAGTAGTATTTTTAAGACATCCTACTATTATTTGTGTACAGGGATGCAAGGCCAAGCTGATTGAATGGATGCAACAACACAGCACCATCATCATTGGTGTCGGATGTGGCATTGCTGGAATACAGGTAACATTACGCACACAAATATTCTAAATCAACTAATTATGTGGCAGGTTTATGCAGAATTATGTTGGTCTTTGAATAGAAACTTAAGTTCTTTCTGCCAAAAGTATCAATAATGCTCTATGCTGGGATTCCAAGTCAAAATAGGTCCCCACTACCGAATGCTTGTACTCGCCAACTATAAAGGGAATCTTGTGGTTCTTCTCTGTGACTTCAATGACTGTGTCGTGCCATGATGGTGTGGATTGTTTGCTCTTTCTTTCAAGACCCGTGAATATTCCGGGGTAGAATAGGTCTTCAGCAATCCATACTTGCCGTAAAAGGCGACTATGCTTGTCGTAAAAGGCGATTTACGGGATCGGGTGGTCAGGCTCTCTAACTTGGTTGATACATGTCATCGATCCCAAATGCGTGGATCGATGCTCATGATTTTAATCACTCGATTGTCTGGTCCAGACTCGATTATTTACAGACTGCAGTCATATAGCTGGAATATTGCTGAGTGCGGCGTTAAACAACAAACCAACCAAACCAACTTTCTTTCAATAACTGCTTTGCATTGTCCAGATGTAGATGTTGCACAATTTTACTCTCTTGGGGTATGATTCTTTTCATTATACATGTATTCATGTGTGGCAGATTAGATCCACAGTTCCATGTTTAGGATGACTAAGATAGGCATCAGGTCACTGATGCTACTGAATGGTGTTCTTTATGTGTGATGCCAAGGCAAGACTACACTTCCTATGTGGCCTGGCTGTTATCCTTCAAAGTATTGTTTGTGTCTTCCTGAATATTGTTTTCCTTACCTTAGACATGGAGGAAATTAATAATATATATTACTTGAATGAACTTTACAATTCTTCCATATTGCTATAGTTAATCTGTCATGGTGGCATGTGGTCCTGAGCACAGCGCACAGGTCACAAGTCAGGTGAAGATAAGCAAAGTCGGTCTCGGAGAGTAGTTGGATGGATCACCGCTTTGGGCAGTGTGGCTCCTAAGAGTTTCTAGGACTTTGATCCTGCCCCACACTGAAGCACATGTAGCACATGTGGTGTCTCCTTAGGAAGTGACTTTGTTCAAAATGTGCCTCTGTTCACTAAGCAGAAAAATGGGTACCCTTTTGGATGAGATGGAAATATGACTTTTGACCTTCTTCTTCTAGCGCCTGACAAGGCAGCTGGGGTTATGGAATGAAAACTGATCCTTTGCCCCGGGGAATAATGTTTGCGCTTTGTGCTTGCACTGCAATATACGTACCCTACATTTTTATGACAGATTAACTGTAGCAATGTGAAAAGTTCAGGTGCTCTTTAAATTCTTTTGGTAGTATATTTGATTAACAGTGAACAGCAAGTGGTAAGATTAATTGACAAGTTGGATACATTTGGTGAAAGTATTTATGTCACATAAGTTTGTATCTTCAGTTCAAAAGACATAGTGATTTACCTGTTCTGTAGGTTATATATACTTCCATATGTTGTCCTTACAGATCATTGGCCTGGTGTTTGCCATCGCACTGTGCAGACAGATCCGCACAGAAGAGAAGTGCTAAATGTCTGTATTAGACTTCACAGTGCAAATCAGCATTGGAGTTGGACAGAGGATTATATCTTTGAGGACACCAGTGAACGACAGTAGAAAATGCCTTAGTAGACAAAACATAGCAAGAAACATAGTGCTCGGCCTGTGACAAGTCAGACATGGAAAGGCCTCACCTCTTTTGTCATAGATTGTAGTTACAGAAAAATGGCATCTGTACATTTTCCATGACAGCTGTTAGAGATTTTTGCAGGTAGAGTCCATTACCTTCAATTAGGACATCACCTATTGTTGTAAGCTTATATTCCGATATTCTTTTTCTGATTTCTGCTTAGCTTGGACTGTTTTGTATGTGTAATTGTTTTGTTTTTTTGTAATTGAAGTCAACATTTACATCTTAACAATATTTCTGTGGCTCAGGTTTATAAAATTGAGTGGTTGCTGTGGTATTTTAGTGAAACTAGGAAAATGATTTAACAACTATTGGATATGATGGAACTAAAAGGCACTGACTGACCAATTTGAATGTAGGGATTTTGGATTTGTTAGGGTTTAAGATGTCCAAGCTATGCAGAGACTATTTCTCTCATCCATTGACTAATCAAGAGAACTGTTTTATTTGTATATTACAGTGGTGTTATTTATATCGATGGTGAATATATAGTGGTGTCTCATTCCATTCCTCAAAATATCCTGACCTCAGTAAACTTACCAAATGCATTCTTTTTCAATTTTATCAATTGATAATTTATGCACTTTGTGTTGTTGGTGCAATTTTCATATGGTTGTTATTTTCCTGCACAAAATGAACTCTCTGAAAGAGACTTTTGCGTAACTGTTATTACTTTCATGATAAACATGCAGTTAAATGGTATTTGGGAATCTAGAGGAATTCACTCACCTAAATACTTCAGCAATTTATCCAGAGACATGGTAGAACTCTATGTGAATCTAGTCCTTCATCTCAGTGTGTACATGTTACCATGGTAACTAGTCCATTTGAAGACAGGCCGTATTCTTGCTGCTGATTGTATTTAATGCTACATTGGTGTTTTTTCTGTACCTAATGACATGTTATTCTGTGACTATCCTAGTTTGCATATTGTTAGGTTGATGTCACTTGTTGACGACAATGGTATTCAAGAGTTATATAATAGATAGTTGTGATAACCATTAATGGTCTGATTGAAAACTTACACAGATCCAGTTTGGATATCTAGATTATCATTCATTATTTTTTAATGATTCTAATCAGATTTTGTTTTAATCTATAAGTTTGAGCCCAAAATATATATATACCTTTTAGTTTATCATATTCAAATATATAGCATTGTTTAGTTCACTTGAAAAAAAAATATCTTTGTATTAATACACAGATTTGGTTCATTTGCTCAAGTGTTTATTTCTTTATCACTGATATGTTTTTTCATCGTGAGATGTGGAGTATTTTCCTTGCTTTTAAGCACTAGTGGTATTACAGTGCTATGACCACTCTTGTTTGATCATCGTATAGAAATATGTGCAATATGCCTGATAAGTATAGATGGATCTATCATGAGCTTGGTTCTTGCTTGTAATTATGTTGATCATGATAATAGGGTAACTGTGGTCCCCAACATACAATTAATCATGTGACACGTTATGCAGTTTGTGTTTCTGGATTTGGTACCTGGATAAATATTTATGATTCAGCTTATATCATGCTTATAGGGTTGTGGCATTGTTTGAACATTTATTCCATGCTATTAGGATTGGGAGCTTGTGAATCCAGTGAATCTCAAATGCTGCAGTTGCTGAGAAAACTTGACATCTATGATTTGGAGCTGGGTTTGAGAAAGACCACCTCATTGTTTAAGTCATATGTTCATCCTTTGATTAAAATGCTTTGGAAAAAATGGAATGTGAAATATGTGAATATTTAGATATTGAGATGAAGTATGGCCTATTTGTGCCCCGTGGTATGGCCATGACAATGGCTTCAGCCTAAATGTTGGACCAAGTTACGATAATCCTGCAAGCATATTTGCAATAACAAAATTGTGAAGTGAACTGAAAAAATGTAGACATGATATTTTTGCTTTATGATAACTTTTTTGTTTGCGTTTACAGCGTAAAAACAGTCATTAATTGTTAAATTTGATGTTTATGACCCAATTGTTAGATTGAAGCTTTTGAAATGGCAGCAGAATGTCTTCTATAATGTTATTGTTGACTGTAATTTGTGGAAGAGTATTCCATGTTTGTTGATTCTTCAGTGTTATTCCTTGTTGGTTTGTGGTCATCATGTCACGAAGTCCCATATCTCAGTTGATGTTCATGTTACTTACACTTGTGGTGAAACAGGACACCTTCATGACATATTTGTAATAGTTCACACAAAGGCACAATTAACTATAAATATGTCAGTTTCTTTCGTAGTTCGAAGCTTAAAAATGTGCCTTATTTTGGTATCAGGTTTCACTGAGAAATTGGAAATGACCAGGAGTCTACAAAACTGGACTTACAAAAACAAGAAATGGCAGAGATGGACGGCTTATGAAAATTTATTAACGTAACCAACATGTGTTTTTTTTCAAGTAATGGCAGTAGGTTTGAACTTGTAGTAAATGGTTCAATAATTCATGTTGTGATCTTGATACTAGCTTGCTCTAGCTTGACCCATTTGTCTGCAAGTTGGATTATTCTAACCTTTTCTCATTGTGAATACTCACTTCACTTTGTTTATGACATTGCTATAAATATTTTTTGTTCATTTCAGAACAAACACATTTAAAGTAGCCTAATCTTCCAAAGCATGATATGTCCTATTTGCAGTATGTCTTTCATTTTCAATGTAACTTTTGCCAGTTCACACTATTTAAATGCAACATTTTTCTCATTGGGAGTCAATATTGGCACTTCTTGTCGGCTTTAGACATGGTAAATGGCTTTATTTATCTGAACACCCATGTCCTTACAATTTGTATCATGTATTTTAGCTATTGTTACATGACAGTCTTGTTAGTGCAGATTATTTAATCTTTTGGAAGTCACAGCTCCACATGACAGCCTTTAAAGAGGCGACTAACAGGATCGGGTTGGGGCATGTCATCGTATCTCAATTGCGTGGATCGATGCTCATGATGTCAATCACTGGATTGTCTGGTCCAGACTCGATTATTTCCAGACCGCCGCCATATAGCTGGAATCTTGCTGAGTGCGGCGATAAACAACAAACAAACAAAAATGTTTCAGGCTAGACTAACATTTTCCATGTTTTTCAGATGGGGCTAATTGTAGTTTAAATGAAAGTACTAAAGTGGCATTTAAGTTTTAAATGTTCTTATCTTAAACATCTACATTTTAGAATGTTGATTGTTTCTTTCTAACAAATGTGTACTAAGAACTGAATTCTAATATTTGCATGGAATGTTGATGTTTTTTTCTGATTGATCACATGCTCAAGTTATCACTTGCCTCCCACACTTCATCATATTGGACAGCTGTGGAATAAGAAATGATATTGGTTTAGCCCTGAGACAAAAATAGTTACAATTCTGAGACAATGGTAGCACTATTGTATACACAAACAAAGATTTCCAAAGACAGAAAGCCTACCTTCAACATACCGTAACAATTGTCTGAATAATCTGAGAATCATGGGCAATTATTTTGGGACAGACCTTTTGGTATTCTGGGGGACAGTCTGGGATGTATATTTCTAAATATAATTTGTTCAGAAAATATTGTAAAATGAGTTGTGAAAAAATAATATACTGTTTTGGCTCTTCCTTTTAGAGAATTTGGTTTTTATGTCTTGAAGCATTGACTGAAAATAATAATGATGGTAGGCCCCTTAGGTCCTTGGGTGTCTTATGCCTCCACATCTCCTATGTCATCTTCCCGAGGCAGGAGAGTTAACTGACTATAAAAGTCCAGTTTCCACCCTTGCCGAACTAGGCTGGTATTATGGAGTTACATTTTGGCTGGACTTAGGAGTCTATGCATAATTCAATCAAAATCGCGCACCGACATCAAAATCCGGTTCATTAGCTGTCGTGCAGATTTGGATCGATTGCAGGATTTGCAAAGCATGTGCACCGCCAATTCGTTGTCAGCAGATATTTTCCAAGTCTGTTCATGTTTTTAATCAAGGTGCTCACGTGATTTGGTTCTGTTTTATCACAATATAGATCCTGATTATCGATCAGATCTTCCTGAAAGGTCGCCACCATTTTGTGTGAAGAAAACAGAAGTGATACGAGAGGTGGAACCTGATTGGTAGGCTTAGAAGGGACACAACTGGTAATAGCCACTGGTGGTGCTACGATCGAGCCCAGTAATTCCAGCTTAGTTTGGCAAGGGTGGAAACTGGACTTTTAAAGTCAGTTAACTCTCTTGCCTCGGGAAGATGCTCCTATGTTGTCCAAATTCCTAAAAAACTTTTACAAGTTCCATTCCTGTTGCATATGCATCATTGTGCTTTGATGTAAAATGTTCAGGCCTAGAAAGGCAGTACCACAACTGATCATATCTATCCTTTTGAAACTACTATTTTGTACTTGAAAAATAGTGTTTGGTACCTTTGCAGCAAACTAACAAAATGTTTTATCAATGGTATGGTTGACAAATTTGATAAAACCTTTTGTATTTATATCTACGTATATCAAAAGGTTTGAAGGAATATTCATCCAAGCATTTAAGCATTGAACTAATCATCTGAGCTTTCAAACATGTCCATTTCTTACAGGTATATATATTTTATCAAAATTTCCAAGGTGAAAAAAATAGATTTTTTGTAGTAGGTTTTGAGCATTTTAGGTATATTTTGAGTGTTATTTTGTTGTCGTATAACAGATACTCATCATATTGTGATGTATTGTATTGTTAGTTGTAGCTGATATTTGGAAGGATCGATCTGTAGCCAAGCAGTTTGTGTGCAGTTTGTGTGCATGTTCTGCCTTGTTTTCTATACTTTTGTGTAACCAATGTTGTAAATTGATATTTTGTAAGATTAAATCATCTTATATTCCGTAATAAAATAATTCAGTGTAACATAGTCTCATGTTCTTAAATATTCAAGAAGGACATGGGGCAGTGTGATAGATATATTGTCAGCTGTCATGCTACTTGTCTGTCTCACCTCTGGGCTGGACTTCAGAAACAAATCTGAAATGAAGAAAGCAGAGCTATTAGGGTACTTACTCCTGCTTCCCCCGCAAGGCACAGGTGGTTTAGTACCAAATTTGGTCCAGTTACTGCTAAATGTCCCAGACTCTAGACGTATCGCATGTATGAACACCCACAACATTCCCTTTCGAAAAGGCATACCCATGAGGGCACCTGAGCTGATTTCCTGCCAGATCCCATGTCTGTGGTCTAGTGGTAGAGCATCCACCTGGAGAGCGGAAGGTCTGTGGTTCGAACACTGGCTGCAAAATACTAAAAGCCATTAAAAGATGGTACTTGTTGTTACCCTGGCTGGCGCTTGGCATTTAGAGGATGAAACAAGGACTGGTCGTCTCGGAGTCTGTTAGACTGTGTGGGAGTGGGATGTATAGTCCAGACTGGTACAAGCAGCTACAGATTAGTGACCAAGTAGGTGACTTTTATCTCTCAGTACCAAAACTGTTTTATCAGTCTGATGTGACGTAACATTACACATGTCTATATTAGTTTGTGGTTGATGTTTGGGCGAAGTCTTGTATAGGGAACTTGAAAGATTATACCCAAAATAGTCTATATTATATATTAGTTTGGGAAATCTATACAGATTTCAGGACGAACAATGAGTGAATCTCTGTCCATTTGAAATTGGACAAAACTTGTTCAGTGCTGGAAATGGTAGGTTGGTGATGCCCCACACATTCTTTAAAGGGGGGAGATCGGGGATCAGCGCTGGCAATGGTAGGGTGGTGATGTCCCACACATTCTTAAAGGGGGAGAGATCGAGGCTCATGGTGATGGGGGAGGGGGAGGGTTCGGGGCTCAGCGCTAGCAGTGGTAAGAAGGTGATGCCCAACACATTCTTAAAGGGGGAGAGATCGGGGCTCAGCGCTGGCGATGGTAAGATGGTGATGTCCCACACATTCTGAAAAGGGGAGAGATCGGGGCTCATCGCTGGCAATGGTACTGTGGTGATGTCCCACACATGCTTAAAGGGGAAGAGATCGGGGCTCATGGTGATGTCCCACACAATCTTAAAGGGGGGATATCGGGGCTCAGCGCTAGCAGTGGTAAGATGGTGATGCCCCATACATTCTTAAAGAGGGAGAGATCGAGGCTCATGGTGATGTCCCTCACAATTTTAAAGGGGGGAGATCGGGGCTCAGAGCTAGCAGTGGGAAGATGGTGATGTCCCACAAAATCTTAAAGGGGGGAGATCGGGGCTCAGCGCTAGCAGTGGGAAGATGGTGATGTCCCACACAATCTTAAAGGGGGGAGATTGGGGCTCAGCGCTAGCAGTGGGAAGATGGTGATGTCCCACACAATCTTAAAGGGGGGAGATCGGGGCTCAGCGCTAGCAGTTGGAAGATGGTGATGTCCCACACAATCTTAAAGGGGAGAGATCGGGGCTCATGGTGATGTCCCACAAAATCTTAAAGGGGGAGAAATCGGGGCTCAGCGCTAGCAGTGGGAAGATGGTGATGTCCCACACAATCTTAAAGGGGAGAGATCGGGGCTCATGGTGATGTCCCACACAATCTTAAAGGGGGAATATCGGGGCTCAGCGCTAGCAGTGGTAAGATGGTGATGTCCCACACATTCATAAAAGGGGAAGAGATCGGGGCTCATCGCTGGCAATGGTATTGTGGTGATGTCCCACACATTCTTAAAGGGGGAGAGACCGGGGCTCATCGCTGGCAATAGTATTGTGGTGATGTCCCACACATTCTTATAGGAGGAGAGATCGGGGCTCATGGTGATGCCCCACACAATCTTAAAGGGGAGAGATCGGGGCTCAGCGCTAGCAGTGGTAAGATGGTGATGTCCCACACAATCTTAAATGGGGAGAGGACGGGGCTCAGCGCTGGCAATGGTGGGATGGTGATGTCCCACACATTCTTAAAGGGGGAAGGATCGGGAATCAGTGCTGACACAGGTGTAGTTGCATGCAGGGCGCACATCGTGGTAGGCGTTGTCGCGGTAGTACTGTCCTGTGACCCTCAGATGGTCAATGCGTACTGGCGTCTTGACCATCAGGGGATCCCACCCTATACCATCACTGAACCACCAATATACCCGTCATGCAGGTGGACATTGAGGCCGACGTTACGTCCACTGGTACACCTCCAGACACAACCATACACCTGTCAAGGAAGTCGAGGGTACATCTATTTTCGTCTGAGAACATAACATGCATCATCCTCTACTCACCCACATGCAGTCGACTTTGAATTATCTGCTCGGAAACCCCATTAGCCCTGCACATGCAGTTGACGATCAGACCCCTTGTGATTCTGCATGTGTAGAAAACTATACATGGCCTCCGCAACCTATGCTTGTCGTAAGACCCCAGTAAATGACTCGATGACTTTGTTTGTTGCTTGCCATCTTATCCGAAATTCTGTAGATTAGTGCTCGTTATGTCAATCACTGGATTGTCTGTAACAGACGCAAATATTCACATGCTGCCGTCATTCAGCTGGAATATTGCTGAGTGCGGCGTTAAAGAGTGAGTGAGTGAGTTGGGCTTAACGCTGCTTTTAACAGTATTATCACGGCGTGTCAGCTTAATATCGGAGGAAAACCCGAAGTGATGCAGGTCTCAGACGTTTACCACTTCGGTGAAACCCACAAGCACGGGTATGGTGCTGACAACCTAAAAACATAATCGGGGCGAACCGGGATTCGAACCCACAATCATAGGTTTCTGGCGTGCCCAAGGGGCGCAACTCTGCACAGCGAATCGCGGCGCCTTAGACGAATGGGACAAACAGACAAAGAACAAACAAAACAGATACAAAGAGTTTGTCCCGAGCTTGGAGTGAGTGAGTGAGTCAGTATGGTTTTAGGCCGCTTCTAGCAATATTCCAGCAATATCACGGCGGGGGACACAAGAAATGGGCTTCGCACATTGTACCAATGTCGGGAATCGAACCCGGGTCTTCGGCGTTACGAGCGAACGCTTTAACCACTAGGCTACCCGACCGCCCCTCCTGAGCTTGGAACACCGATGAGACGATCATGAGACTTTTGGATCTAAGCACGGATGTATATACGTCTTTGATCTAAGGCATCTTGATTGTCAACGTTTTGTGTTTGACGGAATCTGTTCGTTTTCTGGTGTCTCTCACCGTGATATTGCTGGAATACTGCTAAAAGCGGCGAAAAGCAATACTAACTAAGTCACTCACTCCTTCTGAAGTGGAGACATATTGAGCTAGCCCACACTCCGTCGCAGTGGTGACTCAGCATAACACCACTGCCACAGGCTAATTTGCATATCACGTGACAGGACTTTTCTCTTGTTTGTAAACAAACGCGCTTTTTCAGAAATCAGTATAGAACGGACTAATGCAAGTATTTGGGGGCGCTTTACATATTGTTTTGCATAACTATATAGATATGCTACTACAACTGCGACAGTGAGTTGCATGACAATATATATTTATGCATCAAAGTGACCGTGTCGCTAGCTCTCCGTTGGGCTTCGATGACAGCACGTGGAGCTGTACAACCAATGTAAACATAGGATAACTACGCAAAAACAAGTAGATTTTTACGCATTTGCATACTTTCTCAATGAAAGTTAACCATTCTTTGACCTTTTTTATGAAAATGTGTAGACTTGTCAAACAAGAAACGGATTTAAAGCATATGCAATATCTTGAATGGACTGTGAAAGATGTGACGAATCGTCACATGGCGCTGGCCTGTGGCAGAGGTACTATGCTAGCTGGCTGCCGGCCGCTTGGAACTCTGGGTAGGAGAGTGGAGCTAGACGTTGATGACAAATATCACCATCTTGGTGTGCTACTGACAGAACACCAAGACGGCAGCTAAAGCCGCCAACAGGTCAATGGGACTTCTTATGTCCAAGTTCCGAGGCTAGGTTGGATGCTGTATAATGATGCACTAGACTGTATGGCACCATAGTGTGGTCCGTGTTAAGCTATGGAACGCCAAAATGGGGCACTGCAGACACTTAGCAGTGAATGATGCTGATCATACAGCAATACGCTTCTACCTTCGGCATGGAAAGTACACCCCAAACACAGCAATCAATAGAGAAGTAGGATGGTAGCCTCCCCTTGTCCGAAATTGGACAAGAATAATGAACACGACGGATTCGAGAAATCGTATCTACAGAAAATTGGCTTCGGTCATTTAACCGAAATAAATACAACATTGGAATTAAGGCTGTTTTCATTTCATGTGCAGGAAGTGATGACGACAGAGAATATATCTGGCTGGAAAAAGAGACTGAATACAGTCGATGGAAAATGAGGGAGAAACAAGTTTAAGGAACTATACATTGTTTAAAGACAAGACTGTCAATTCTTACCCGGATTGCAACCACGTTATCAAAACCATTTCTATTTTTTATTCACATGATACTCACACCATGGTAAACATAACCATTCAAATCCGCCTGGTCAGGGGCTACTGGTCTTCCAAATTATACATTTAACAAAGTCTTAAATGTGCAGATCAGTTAATAACTTGTCAAGGTAGTGATATTGTTTCTTTTATATTTTATCAGTACGGTGGCGCGTACCCACCACTGGTGAGATCATTTTTCACTCTATATTTTATCTGGCTCAATGTATGAAAGCTCAATCTTACGGATACAATCTCCAACCTGTTAATTGCCAGGGCACTGATCTGGAAGTAATTATGGTCACGCGTGAAATGCCAACTTGAAACGAAAAGTATCTGGCAAAATATAGAGGCACACAGTGAAAAATTATCTCACCAGTGGAAGTATCTGACGGCCGCCAGATAAAATATAGAGGTAGAACTATACAGGGAAAATGATCTCACCAGTGGAAGTATCTGGCGGCCGCCAGATAAAATATAGAGATATACAGGGGAAAATGATCTCACCAGTGGCGGGTATGGGCCACCGTTAATCTCATTAAAATCAGGTCCTAGTTCTCGCTATCGGTTAACAAAGATTTGAGGACATCCCATTAAGGGTCACGTCAGACAGATTGGGGCCACCGTATATCAGTGACATTATCCCTATATAATTATTCTACCGACAACTTGGTATTTGCATAGTCAATGATGATGTTCATCGCTGAAAAAACTGACGTTTCTTGAAAAAGGCACTTTGCAATTTTTATCATTGCTTTAAATAATATTGCTTATTAGTGGAATGGCTTGTTTTCACTTTATAAGTATTAGCACACATGCAGCTATCTTCGTTAAGTAATCATCGCGAAATTTCGTTATTCTATTTCAGGTGGCGGAGGACTAATAGATATAGTCTTCGGCTGCTTTCCGATCCGACATTTACATCCTACTGTAAAGGGGGGTAACTCTGAATTATGATTGGCTCGGGAAGAGGAAGGGTCATGATAGTTTTGGTTTCTGAATACAGGTGATTCTAAACTGACGCTTAAATAATTAGGCAATTTTAAACATATAAATGAAAAGGTCGGGTCAATTGTGCTTTCGCAACTGTAAGGTAAAAGAGACGTTTTCAGTCACAATTTCGTATCAGAATATTGTGTTGCCTTTCTCTCGGGTTGCTAGTAAATATCACTTTGTCTTGCAAACTGAATGAGAGGGTCTCACGAATGCTGACTATGAAACTTGTAGTGTGAGATGCAGTCACGTGATCTGTAACTAATGACTAGTCCACGTGCATTTTTATTTCATTTTCCCGAACCAATAAAAGTTAGTATGGTCCAACTCACCAAATAATACTAGCTTGAATCGTATTGGCGTGGACTGAAATTTTGGAATTCGGGTGAAAATAATAATAGAAATCTGAGATATATTAGAATCTATTATTTTCTTCATCCCTGATGACAATGTTTCAGGATGTATAATTTAAATAAAAAGGAATTGGCACTTTGTTTGTGTGATTGTTTAATTTGATTAGGTTGTGCGAGACATTATTTTCATTTATTGATATCATCCTGACGTACCCTATTTTCGAACAGTTTTGATGGCATTGCTGATATTTCGAGGGATGAGGGAATTCACCTACTTTTCAAAAGAGTAAAGAGTCCTTGATAAAAGGTGTAACCTCCATTGCCTTGTCTGAATTTCCACTACACTTGAGTGACGTCACATATTTTCGAACACCTGATTGGTTTGGTACTTAAGCGCGGTTTCCATGAATGAACAGATGTGTTTTGGCACTGTTCTCATCATAACTCTTTGCAGGTTGGTTTTTAAACTCAAAAAGCAATTGAAAGTTTGAAACCTATTCACAAAATATGAATATTTGTCAAATTATCATGATTATAGTGTTCACACTTCCTTTATTACTTGGCCGTGAAGAGAGCACCCGTTTAATAAACATACTGCTGTATTACACATTGTGTAATACCAAAACGCGTGCTTATGTACTCTCGGAACACGTTTCACGAACAAATGTTGAAAGCTCTCAACATCCCTTGGCTTATTCAACGACATTGCGTGTGGAGTTGATAGATCACTGAGAGAAGCTTATGCACACTCGATGACTTCCAGCAACCTTGTTGCTAGGCTTACGTCACATGGCATTGTTTCGCCGATGGATCTTGCAACAAAATTCCACAAATTACGTCATCGGGTATTGTGACGTTATTGTAAACTTTGAGGTGCAAGGCCCATTCCACAAGGCGATCGTATTGTAGCGCAACGACAGTCGTTAGTCTTTTTAAGTATGTGAGTTGCGATAGTCTTAGCCCTACGATAATTTTGTGGATTCTAAAGGTGGACCTTGTATGGTATTAAATTCATACGTTTCAACTTTTGACGTGTTTGAAGTATTATTCTGTTAAACTCAATTGGACTATGCCGTGGATCATGTAGGTGTCAGCCTGTTCATACTCAACAGTATAATTCTAAAAACGTCATAAATGGCAGGTAATAAATAAAAGACTAAACTCGCTCCCGTATAAAACCAATTTTATGAAACTCGTGAATAGTTGTGGTATCTGACTCGCTTTCGCTCGTCAGAAACCACAACTATTCACTTAATTTATATAATTGGTATTACACGGGAGCTCGTTTAGTATACTATATTTTCATCATGACAAGGGCACCAACTTTCGAAATGACGACAGAATGTTCTGACAGGTGTAAACTACTTCACATGAACCCAATAGTGACAGGCCAAACATGTGCATTGTCATGTCAGCAGTCTTGATGACGCCACACCTCTCGTTATAATGCAACAAATCACGTTCAATGGGGGCTGTTCGAAAATAGGTGTTGTTCAAAAATAGTGTACTCGACGATACACTCATATATTGACTGCTCCAGTCTTCATGTCCAAGCTTGATGTGAACTATGTTTTATCTGGGGTTTACTGAAATAAAAGCAACATGATCATCATGTATATGTATAAATACAACATTCTCACAATACTGAACATTATTCCTGATTTCAGGTGATGTTTTACTAGCCAACAGCTATAAGACCCTCCCAGCTCCCACCAAGAACCTTTCTGGCTTCACTGTACAATTCTACTCCTACAGGTTCCTTGTCCCTACAGTATCCACACTCACTGTCTGCATCCATTGTTCATCATCTTTGAGGGGCGGTTAGGAAAAGTGTTCACCCGAAGGCCTGGATTCAAATCTCCACATGGGGCCACTGTGAAGCCCATTTCTGGTGTCTGCTCCATGATATTGTTGGAATTATTTGGAATATTGCTACGGGTGGTGTAAACCCCACACTCACACTCACTCATCATCTTGGATGTTATTGCAGGTGATGATCAAATTAAGGTTCCCCGATGGAGGCTGATACAGCACATAACCCAGGTCCGTCAGATCTGCCCATCAGAGAGCTAGCCTCCCCTCTGAAGGGATGGGAGTGTGAGCTGTGCGGCTTCCAGTCCTCCTTCAGAACAAGCCTCATCAACCATCAGGCAGTCCATTCTGATGCCAGGCCCTTTGAATGCCAGATGTGTGACTATGCAGCCAAACGCAAATATGATCTCAAGAAGCACGTCATGCTGAAGCATAGGAGAGATGAATCATTCCTTGGCGCCAGCGTGTTTGACCATTCCTCTCAGCTGGAGAATGTAAGTGGGGACATGTTCAACATGGGCAGGTCATTGTCGCCATACCAGGCACAGGATCACTGTCAGCCGGGGGTTCAGCTTTCCTCAAAATACAGTATCTCTCCCATTGAGAAAAGGGAAAAGTTCAGTTTTTCCCCAACTGAGAAAAGGGAAAAGTTGCATCAGATTGAGATAAAATTGGAACCTTCTGATGTGGAGGATGATGAAAACGTTAGCAGGACTTTCCCATCCACTCACCACATGAAACAGATGTCTTCTGAAAAAGAGTTTTTAAGCAGAATTGACAGCCAAGGCTTTGGGGGTGTTCAGCCCAAACAGCTAAAAACGACACTTGTTGTCAACAAGAAATGTGATTTGTTGCATCTTGGAACTCATGGTGCTCAACCCAACAAACAAGATTCTCACACTACCTCAGTTCTGTCACGGTTGGAACATACTCAGGCAAAACGCTCACTAGAACAATTAGATGCAGAAAGTGATGGCAGCAGACGTAAACACAGACAACCTTCTTTACCTTCAAGCGAAACACCTGGAAAGTCGGCTGTAGACAATGTAGGTGGCATCCCTCAACAACAGTTATGGAAACCGTCCAATCCAAGTGCTCGTCTCTTTGAAGAAGCCCCCTCCAGCCAATCAGAGATTCCGACACATTCTGAAGTTAGCTGTAGCTCAGTGAAGGAAGACAAGTCATGTGAGACCAAGAAGTCATTTTTGTGTGGTCATTGTACGATCCTTTATTTTGACCATGCTCTGTACCTGATGCACATGGGCCTGCACGGGCGGGGGAACCCCTGGATGTGTGCTGTGTGTGGGGAAGAGTTCGGGGAGAAGTACAGCTTTACTTCCCATTTCATCAACCAGCACAGCCAGGCCTCTTCTGGGGAGTAGCTGGAACACAGCGAGTCGCCAGGGACCATTCAGTGAGGCGAAGATGAGGAGATGTCTATCTATGCCTTGGGGACCAGTCATTTACCATGTTTCTGTGGATACAGAACTATGTTTGCCATCATGTTAACTTGGCAAGAATAGGGAAGTAATATACACTGATATATACTACTCAAAAGAAGTTAAGGATCATCTGATTCTTTCATATTACTATAGTTAATATCTCATGTCATGACAGATTAACTTTACCATTATGAAAGAATCGGGTGATCCTTAACTTCTTTTGAGTAGTATATATCAGTGTATATTACTTCCCTATTCTTGCAGCAGCAATAATAATAATAATAATAATAATAATAGGTGACAAATGTGGGTGCTCCTGAACATGTTGATAATATTATGTACTGTGATCAATAATAATAGCTTAATTAGTAATAGTGAGGATGATAATACTATCAAGTGTGGGTAGAGTTACTCCTGATAAACATATTGACAATAACATCTACAATAGGATAATAATAATAATGTTATTGTGATGTAGTGGTGAAACGGTGCAACATCTGTGAATCAACTTCAGTGTTGGATGAGATTCAGCATGAATCGTCGAGCAAACATCTGTTTGATAAATCAATTATTCAACACCTCATCCCATACAACGATTAATAATTTGATCTTAATGAAGTTGTTACAATTGTTGTTAATTTGATTTTCACGAGGCCATAGCCTGATAACCTTTCCCCTCTTTTTGATGTGGATATTTAGTTTTTAACTATTTCAGATGCATTAGAAATACTAGATTCTGTCTCAAGCGAAAGTTTACTCAGGTGTAGACTTTGGTTCGGAGTAATGAGATCATGGCCGGTGTTGTCTCCGTTGCTGTCACGATATGAACACAATTTTGTTAGATACAAGAGTCAGTCCCCTGTATATTGTTTCAGAGCTCCAGAAAACCTGCGTATCTGCGTAAAATACGCATCAGAAATGCAGAAATACGCAGTAAAATAAAATCAAAGCGTATCAAATACGCAACGAACATTACAGATACGCTACAAAAATAAAACTTGTGCGTATCATCAAAATATTGTGAAGTAACCCTGGGTATTCGATTAGCAAATCAGCAACTTATTTTGAAATTATGAACGGGCATTCCGTCAACCTTGCCAAACTCCACGATGACAGTTACATCATTATCATTTGCCATCACACTTTCGTGTGGATGTATTGTGGTATTTTTGAGTCCTAATAAAGCTCTCGAACCCACACGACACCAGTTTGCAGGGACTAGATGAATAGTGTTTTTAAATATTTAACTTAAATACCCACATGTGTAAAAACTAGTGGGTAACAGAAATTTGAATACCCAGATAGAATTACTGATACCCAATGATTTTAAAATGCATGGGTAAAATACCCACAACACCAAAAGCTTATCTGGAGCTCTGTTGTTTACAAGTTAATTAAAAGAAATATCCTTACAAACCAGTGATAAAGCATCATACGTATGATATAACTCCCACAGTGTGAAGAACATGAGCATGACACTGGAGTGTCTTAGTGTAAGCAGAATGGTGGGATAGCCTAGTGGTTAAAGCGTTTGCTCTATCACACATGACCCGGGTTCCATTCCCCACATGGGTACAACGTGTGAGGCCCATTTCTGGTGTCCCCTGCCACAGTACAGCTGGCATATTGCTAAAAAGCAATGTTAAACCATACTCACTCACTTAGTTGTAAATTACAATAGAAACTAAGTACTTAGCTGTGTGTTTGCGTCCCTTGGGCAGGCCAGAAACCTATGATTGTGGGTTCGAATCCCGGTTCGCACCGATTATGTTTCTAGGTTTGTTAGCAGCATACCAGTGTTCGTGGGTTTCACTGAAGTGGTAACCGTCTGAGACCTGCATCACTTCGGGTTTTCCTCCCACATTAAGCTGACACGCCGTGATATACCCCGGGTAACTGGAATACTGTTAAAAGCAGCGTTAAACCCAACTCACTCACTCACGTAGCTGTGTTTGTTGTGGAGCATTGATTATAAACGCTGAATTATTGGATTAAAGATATGGTGGAAAGAATTTTGGAGCGGTATTTTAAGTGATCCAGATTAGCCAGGGTCTGGTTTTGACCGATTCCATTGTTCCTATTACCATGATCGCCTTGCTGAGAAATCAGCTGGCGGGACTGAATTGGATCACAACACAGGCTATGGCACCAAAAGAAATACAATAAGTATCGTCATTAGAAACCCAGCACTTCATGAAATGCCAAGCTAGAGAATATTTCAACATAAATCAGGATGAAACTTAGTCTGCTGTATATTTTTTGGAAAATTATGTATGATAAACAGAACACTTTTCCCACAGGCATGTTGGGGATGGTAATATTGTTGTGCACTTGCGTTAATAACTAACAATCTTTAAAAAAAACAAGGTTCAAAATGTTTTAGTTATGCATAATAGACATTTTTTTTGTTAATGTTTATGAAAAGGTATAATCTCTGGCCTCGTTTTTGTCTCTGCCTACCCTTTAAAATTGAAAAGTGGAAGAATAAGATCTGAAAAGCATTATTTTCTTAAACACAAACTGTGTGTTCACAAGAGAAATTGTACATAAAATGGCGGAAACTGACGTACTAGCTTAACCAACACAAAATATTCTGATATCTTTTCAGTCTTGTTTCATGTAGTGTTATTTCCCAGTTAACAGGGTTAGCAACCAGGATTGTAAAAAAAACATCTGTGAGCCAAGAAATAAATTGTTTTCCAAATGAAGCAAACAAACAAACAAACAAAACCTCCCACAGAAGGGAAACATTGTTCCTGTATATATTTTTGATCAACATTTTATAGTTTACACCCCAAGTATATGGTTAGCATTTATTTTTCCTGCTAACCGCACTAACCACGCCAACTTGTACGGCCAGCAAAGTGACATGCCATATGAAACAAAAAACATCATCAGGTACATGAGTTCATACTTATTATATTTTGGATCTTACATTATCATGGTCATGTGTGGCATCAAATGTCTGTCATATTCAGGGTATATAAAATAAGCCTAAAAACTATAAAAAACCCTCCTCATTTAGAAGTTCATTTCACACATTGATCAGTCATGTGAAAGGTCAAGGTCATAAGGTCGTAGCCTATAAAAACCCTCAAAAACTCCAGAAGGATTTACAGTTGATCACTGAAACTTAGTACATGCAATCCATGTCTTGGTCAAGATAGGAAAAGGCTGAGAGTGACCTACGTATGTCCAGGTCACAGTGAAAGTCATTTCAGGTGTATGTAATATGCCTTTTCCTGCAGATATTGTGAATTCTTATGCATGCATTTGTTATGTATTGGAGAAAACACGCTCACAAGGTTTTTCCCTCTCCCCAGGGCATGCTCTGTCTACCAAAACCGAGGGAAAGTGTTTTTCCATGTTATAAACCGAAAAAAGAAACTTAAAACAACATTTATCAACATTTTTATGTTTCGAACATACTTTCCATGAACCTTAGGAAATGCGGGTAAAATATCTGTTGCTGGCGTACGGATCTTGAAAAGGACATTCTAAAAACCAGTGAGGCTTATCAACACCTCTGTAACCTCATGGTACACTCACTGGGCTACAGATATGAAGGTTGTGAGTTCGATCCTCGGGAATATAAAGAAAACATTTGTCATTTGATTTTACATTTCATTACATGTTACAATATGAATGGAAGTTATATTAATAAAATACCCAGGACATTATATAAAATCCCAGGGACAGGTTTTAATGCCTATAGAAAGAAGTCTCTTACTTAATAGCGATCCCAATGAATAGGTTTATAAATGATTTGAATGGTAATGTATGCCATGTGATAACAATCTTATGAGAATATTAGTAGGTCATTGTTGCCAAATGCGATATTTTTTGTTACACTGTATTCCACCGGGCGTATCAAGGTATTCTACCTGCACAGTTGTAAGATTTCTGGGGCCTTCTGGACACTCTTCAAGTAAAATAGCACATTTCAATGTGCCCATGTTTTCTATTAAAACATGTTCAGAATACATGAATGGGTTCTATTTTTTTAATTCCTTCTCAAGAATATAATGAAATTAAACCAGTGTACTGTCTTACAATGGCTATTGAACTATGTGCGCCAGAGAAAGTTTTGTTTTCTCAAGTACCTTAATGTTAATGTGAGTTTATTTTTTCTTATTTCCGCTACTCAGTCTAACGGACAAATCAAAATGAGAGTTACAAACAAGCCTCAATGTTGGGTTGTGATATCAACAACATGGTGGCCATTCCCGTTGATTAGAATAGAGAGAACACAGAAAAATTGACTGACACGTAAAAGCAAGCCGTCAAAAGTCTTTTTGATTGAAAGGATGACTTCATGACCATTATGTCAAGTCCTCCCTTACCCCTTTGGGGGCGGTCAGGTAGCCTAGTGGTTAAAGCGTTCGCTCTTCACACCAAAGACTCGGGTTCGATTCCCGACATGGGTACAATGTGTGAAGCCCATTTCTGGTGTCCCTCGCCGTGATAAGACTGGACAATATTTCTAAAAGTGGCGGAAAACCATACTCACTCACTCACTCACCTTAACCCTTTTCCTTTTCCTTATTGATTGGTCGCTGAAATGTTGAAAGTCAAGGGCGGATAATTTGATATCGCGAGAACAACAGGAATGGATCGAGGGGTTACTGTAGTGGTTATCTTGTTCTTGAACAATGCTGAAACAGATTGTATATTTGTGAACATCTTTTTTGGAATAATAGTCAGATTGAAAATTATTTATATACCTTGAGATACACCAGATTAGCATTACTACATGAGTGTTTTAGGACTGTTAGACTAATAAATAGATGAAATTGTTTTTCAATGATTCTAGCAGTTGGTTTCTTTCTATTTGTATATTTTCTGTCAACTAACCTTCATTGCTCCTACAAAGAAGTGGCATGATATTAATTCGTGTATTATCAAAGGTTGTCATTGAGCATTATTGGACGACTTCCAGACCTAACATACCATTCAGTGTAAATATATATTACAATGAACCCGTGAAAACCCAGGTTTGAACTGATCTTCATGAAACCATGCTTGTCATAAGAGGCGACTATCAGGATCCGGTGGTCAGGCTAAATGAATTTCCTTCTTGCACACAACTCACTACTTAAGATGAGGCTGAACAATATTTATTTTTCATTTCATGGGCCCACCACCCCTACTGAAAAGTAACCGGTCCAAGAAATGAATTAAACATAATAAAATATTAATGTTTGTTTTGTCTCCTGATAGTAATATAGAACCTCTTATTCAATCAAAAATGTTATATATATAATTTCTATGTCAATAAGGGTCAGTCGTGTAGCTTAGTGGTTAAAGCGTTCGCTCGTCATGCTGAAGACCCGGGTTCGATTCCCGACATGGGTACAATGTGTACTTTCAGTGAATCAAAAGTCAGTTGGAGTTTTAACTCTGCGGCAGAATGACTTTCATATAAATTAATGATTGATTGACGTAGCTATTTATTTTTACTTTTATTTTGATTGGCCTTGTGTGGAAAAGCAGGAATAAATCCGTGAAACATAAAATGAAAAAAGTGTGGCCTGAGTAACTTCTAAGAAACATGTACCAGGGGTATGCTGTACTTAGCTACATGATCTACAAGACTCGTGCTTGGACACTGATGACTTCATTTCTGGATACTGTAGTTTGTGCAGAGTTGACTCCCTTAGTTTCCCTGATCTCCTGCTTGTGGGTTTGACCTGCGTCGCCAAGGGCTTGCAAATATACATGTACTTTGTTTTATGTATACAGAGCTACAGATAAGCCGCGTATTTGCGTAAAATACCCCACAAAACTATTCCAAACCCAATAACTTTCAATTAACTTGTGTACAGAAACGCATGCATTAAATGAAAAACTCAATTGTTTGAAAACAACATGCATAAATGAAGCTTTTTCAGCATGCATACAACAGAGCTAATTTTCGAAACACAATTACGAGCTAATTTACTTTCCAAGTCAAGCCTATATTTAGAACCATTATATACATCTAAACCATATTTTTCTCAAAATGCTTACTCATTTTGGGGAAAAACAATAGAGTAATGAATAGATGGGTGAATAAATATTGGCTACCCAATGAAAAATGTAACAACCAAATTTCAATAGAAACCTTTGTGTAAAAACTCAATTGCTCAAAAGGTTATCTGGAGCTCTTTGTATATAAGCAATAACTTCACTTAAAGAAAATATGTTTTCAATTAGCTCGCTTCTCTATCTGAAGAGTGGGGCGGTCGCGTAGCCTAGTGGTTAAAGCGTTCGCTCGTAACGCCGAAGACCCGGGTTCAATTCCCGACATGGGTACAATGTGTGAAGCCCATTTCTGGTGTCCCCCGTCGTGATATTGCTGGAATATTGCTAAAACCGGGGTAAAACCATACTCACTCACTCACTATATCACACTGTGTCAATGTAATGTTGGAGGAAAGCCCAATGTGATGCAGGTCTTGGATGTTTAGACTTTGGTGAAACCCACAAGCATTGGTTTGTGGTGACAAATCTAGAAGTAATCGGGGAGAAACAATGATCACAGGTTTCTGGGGCACCAAAGGGATGCAACTCTGCTCAACAAAGTGTGGTGCCACCCTAAGAATAGCCAAACCAGGCCTTTGAATTTAAAAATAACGGAACATAGAACCCACCTGACATTCTTTATATTTTTAGAAAACCTATGTTTTCGCTGGGCAAAATATTGCTTTGTCATTTTGCCCTTTTTATGGCATTGAGTCTAGTCGTAGAACATACACAATTTGGGATTTTCCTTGTTTTATTCCTGCATACATATTTGGAAGATGTTTATTACTGAATATTGCATGTATACAGATGAAGATTGTTTTTGTTATGAAATAAATTTCACAGTAAAACAAAATGTCCTAGAGTTACGTATATTTTATTTACACATTGTTGTACCATTGTTACCATGCCGACCACTGGAAGTGAGATGAGGTGAAATTGGGTTTACATCTCGTCCAAGATTATCGCACTTATATAGTGACTTGCATGCAAGTGTGTTTGTTTGTTTGTTTGTTGTTTAACGCTGCACTCAGCCATATTCCAGCTATGACGGCGGTCTGTAAATATTCAAGCGATTAAAACCAGTGATTGACATCATGAGCATCGATCCACGTAATTGGGATACAATGACATGCATCAACCAAGTCAGCGAGTCTGACCACACGATCCCGGGAGTTGTCTCTTACGACAAGCAAAATCGCCATTTATGTCGTGCACGTGTGTGCGTGTGTGGCTGCTTGTGCTAGTATGGACTTGCAGATTTATAGTGCTAGTTCACTGAGATACCATGCCGCAGTTTAACACGAATACCCCACTCAAGCACAGGATACAGACTCCGAGCCGACCAGTCCTTGTTTTAGCCCCTTAATCCCCAATGCCAGACACGGTAAGAACAAGTACCACCTTTTAACATCTTTTGGTATGACGCTCTACCGCTAGACCACAGAGGCGGTCTACCACAGGAAGTGGCGAAACCTATCAGTAAATGCATTCTCTGAGTGTCAAACATTTTATTTTTGTTTCGTTATTGAATGCAGCCCTCAGCAATATTCCAGCTGTATGACGGTGGCATGTAAACAATCATCTCTGGATCAGACCAACCAGTGGTTGATATTATGAGTAACAACCCATGCTGTTGGGGTATGTTGACATGTTATCAACCAAGTCAACAGGCCTGCCCACCCAATACATTAAGTGGACAAGCATAGGTTGCTGGGGACCTATTGTAACACAAAATTCCATTTTGTTTGTGATAAACGTAAAAACCATGTTTACTCACTGATAACCACTGTGTCTGTGGAAACCAGTGTTAAGTTTCACTGGCAGTACAATGCAGTGATAGTTTATTTCAGTTATATCAGCTGCACTTCGAACAGTATTTCAGTTATATTAATTTGTTCCACGTCTGTAAGAACCATGATGAGTGAGTGAGTGAGGTTTTACGCCGCTTTTAGCAATATTCCAGCAATATCACAGCAGGGTACACCAGAAATGGGCTTCACACATTGAACCCATGTCGGGAATCGAACTCGGGTCGGGGCGGTCGGGTAGCCTCGTGGTTAAAGCGTTCGCTCGTCACGCCGAAGACCAGGGTTCGATTCCCGACATAGGTACAATGTGTGAAGCCCATTTCTGGTGTCCCCCGCCGTGTTATTGCTGGAATATTGCTAAAAGCGGCGTAAAACCATACTCACTCACTCACGAACCCGGGTCTTTCGGTGCGACGAGCGAACGCTTTAACCACCAGGCTACCTGATCGCCTGATGAAATACAAAATAACATATTCTTGGTCACAAAAAATGATGTGCCTTGTACGTCTATAGTTCCCAGGTCCAAGATTTAAAGAGCAGGATTTATTGTTGAAATTGTCACTCTGTGAGTATCTGTATCATGACAACCTCAGACTCCCAGTTAGAGCTGATCCCCAGTAGCAAAGTAGGTTGTCGGCATGTCATATAGTACCCTTATCCCGGGTAGAATAGGTCTTCAGCAACCCATGCTTGCAGTAAAAGGCGACTAACAGGATCGGGTGATCAGGCTCCTGACTTGGTTGATGCATGTCATCGTATCCCAATTGCATGGATCGATGCTCATGATGACAATCACTGGATTGTCAGGTCCAGACCCCATTATTTACAGACCGCCGTCATATAGCTGGAATATTGCAGAGTGTTGTGCTAAAGAAACAGGATGGCTTATAAAAGGTGTACATAGGGATATTCCAAGGTGCCCATGGGGTCCGGACACCCATCCCCCATCTTTTGGAAACAAATTTTAGAATGTAGGATTTTGATATTTTGGACCTCTCCCTTTTATAAATGCTGGATCCGAACCATCGTATATATGCGTTTTGAGTGGGATTTCCCTTGCCAAGATCAAAAGTTTCGCATTTACATAAATTTGTTCTAAAAGCTGCATTGGGTCCAGAACCCATTATCCGTAGACTGGTGATGGAAATTCCCTGTGGTCACCTGACACAACCTTCTATGCAGGTGTCGGCAGGTCTTGATACAGAGAGGTATCATATTGGTGTAAAAGATGAAGACGTGCGACGGCATAAACTTATATGGACTTTTATAGGTATATACGTCCGTGGGTGAGGTAACAAGTCCACTCTAATAGTGAGTGAGTGAGTGAGTGAGTGAGTGAGTGAGTGAGTGAGTGAGTATGGTTTTACGCCGCTTTTAGCAATATTCCAGCAATATCACGGCGGGGGACACCAGAAATGGGCTTCACGCATTGTACCCATGTCGGGAATCGAACCCGGGTCTTCGGCATGACGAGCGAACGCTTTAACCACGAGGCTACCCGACCGCCCCTCCACTCTAATAAATAACAATAGAACACACGACTATGAATACTGGAAAAATCCCTTTATTACAACATCAGGAGTCCAACACATCAGGAACTGCTCTTGGGAGCAGTAGGTGGGAAACAGGTATGTTCCTGATCAGGTTTCTTTATGACACAGTGAGTGAGTGAGTTGGGTTTAACGCCGCTTTAAACAGTATTATAGTTATATTGCGGCGTGTCAGCTTAATGTGGGAGGAAAGCCTGAAGTGATGCAGGTTTCAGACGGTTACCACTTTGGTGAAACCCACGAGCACAAATATGGTGCTGACAAACCTAGAAACATAATTGGGGTGAACCGGGATTCGAACCCACAATCATAGGTTTCTGGTGTGCCTAAGGGACGCAACTCTGTACAGCGAATCGAGGCGCCTTAGACGACTGGGCCACCCATGACACAGAAGACACTGACGAACTAGCACAAATCTCCCGCTCCATGTCATTAGATGAGAGGTGTGTCATCTGAAAAGTTCTTGAAAAACTATTAATTGTTTACCATGTCAATATTTCACAGGAATGATAGATCATGGTGGATTTGATTTCATATTGCTGAACTGTCATCATAAATTTTAGTTTAAACACACTTTCTAGATGTGTGGTGTTGACTGCAGAGAAAAGTGTCTGTTAGCCTTCAAGCACCTCACCGGCTGTTGGGTTGTATACTCCCCATGGAGCTGAGAATTAAAATCGAGTGCACACTGATCCATTGATGAGGTAATAACATAGTCTAAGCACATTTGAGCAGTCATAAATTGGAAAGTGTGTGACACCAATCCACAATTTTATGTAATTTCCATCTTCCTGGATGCAGCATCTTCTTGGGTGGCAGATGTTTTCTGACAGGTGCCCTCGTCCACTTAACATCACTGAGGGGTCTTGGCCAACATTCTGTGGTCTATTTTCTCCAGATGAACTAATCTGAGAAGGTCAAGGTCAATCAAGGACACTGATACCCACGGCATATACATCCTCACCAAAAGCCGTATCAAAGAACTGAAGAAGCATGAATTACCTATATCTCCTGATGTGCGAAGAGATTGAAAAAAATATCTCTTGTTCTTTGAAAATAATATACACACCTGCCAATACATTTTCAACCCAAAAAAGTTTATATTCGCATGATGTTTCCAAGACACATGATGTGGTGACGTCAAAGGATGAAAATTGGTATAGACAAGTATCTCGCAAAAATCAGACAATAAAGACATGTAATAAATAGGGATTGGGTTTAATGTTGAAGTTGTGAAGTCAAATTCAAACTGAGAAAGTATGACTGTATAATTGCCGATTGCATTAATATTCTTCATGGAAATATGACACACTGTAAAGAAGTGATGCAAAACATTTGGAGAGATTTATATGAAAGGGATGTTTGATATAAAGGCCTTATGAGGCCAATGTTTTGGTACCCAACTTATAAAATATAATAGGCCTAAAAAGAGCAAATAGTTTCGTTATTTTTATCAGAACTTCACATTCCTTACCTAAGTGTAACCCTACCCTCAACTTTTGGCTTCACACATCGTACCCATGTCAGGAATCGAACCCGGGTCTTCGGCGTGACAAGCAAACGCTTTCACCACTAGGCTACCCGACCGCCCCCTCAACTTTAAAGTCAATCCTTACAACAAGCCTGCTTGAGACCTTTTCTGACAAAGAGTCCCTTATGGGGTCATATATAAGGGTTTCAACATTTTCACAGGTATGGAAGCATTGGAAGGATACGGTTTAAGTTGTTCTGAAAAGTTCTTCATGTCTTCCCCAATCTGCTCCTGTCCTGCAGGTGCAATTACACTCAGCTCCACCAGCTGCGACTGAGACAGCGGCTCCAGACTGTTGTTTTCTGTATTACCAGACTGCAACATCTGGAAACAGAAGATGGGGGGTTAATGTGACCGAGACAGCCTGTAACATGTTGAAACAGAAGATGGAGGGTTAATGTGACTAAGACAGATTCTAACATTTGGAAACAGAAGATGGAAGGTTAATGTGACCGAGACAGACTGTAACATCTGGAAACAGAAGATGGAGGGTTAATGTGACTGAGACAGACTAACATGTTGAAACAGAAGATGGAGGGTTAATGTGACTGAGACAGACTGTAACATGTAGAAACAGAAGGTGGAGGGTTAATGTGACTGAGACAGCCTGTAACATGTTGAAACAGAAGATGGAGGGTTAATGTGACTAAGACAGATTCTAACATTTGGAAACAGAAGATGGAGGGTAAATGTGACCGAGACAGACTGTAACATCTGGAAACAGAAGATGGAGGGTTAATGTGACTGAGACAGACTGTAACATGTTGAAACAGAAGATTGAGGGTTAATGTGACTGAGACAGACTGTAACATGTAGAAACAGAAGGTGGAGGGTTAATGTGACTAAGACAGACTTTTAATATTTTGAAACAGAAGATGGAGGGTTAATGTGACTAAGACAGAATCTAACATGTTGAAACAGAAGATGGAGGGTTAATGTGACTGAGACAGACTGTAACATGTTGAAACAGAAGATTGAGGGTTAATGTGACTGAGACAGACTGTAACATGTAGAAACAGAAGGTGGAGGGTTAATGTGACTAAGACAGACTTTTAACATTTGGAAACAGAAGATAGAGGGTTAATGTGACTAAGACAGAATCTAACATGTTGAAACAGAAGATGGAGGGTTAATGTGACTAAGACAGACTGTAACATTTGGAAACAGAAGATGGAGGGTTAATGTGACTGAGACAGACTGTAACATGTAGAAACAGAAGATGGAGGGTTAATGTGACTGAGACAGACTGTAACATATAGAAACAGAAGATGGAGGGTTAATGTTACTGAGACAGAATCTAACATCTGGAAACAGAAGATGGAGGGTTAATGTGACGGAGACAGACTAACATTTGCAAACAGAAGATGGAGGGTTAATGTGACTGTTATTGAGAACATGGTCCACATCAGTCTGTTGACTCCAATCCCCAGAAATGGAATTGAGATAAATAGCATGGCAGGTTTTGGGAAAGGAAGTTTATGTTAACTATCCCGGTTAAAGTTTAAACTCAGAGAAAATCAATTTAAGGCCTCTTACTCTGTAGAGTTTGGACACTGTCACCTTCATCCTCCCCTTGTGAAAGAAGCAGCCACGCACGACGTACTCGTGATCCAACCTGCAGCAATGTTCAATACATCCCAGTGATATCAACGGGTAAACAGTAGCAATAAGACAACACAGGTATGTGAATACACTACGCCACGCACAACGTACTCGTGATCCAACCTGCAGCAATGTTAAATACATCCCAGTGATGTCAACAGGTAAACAGTAGCAATAGGACAACACAGGTATGTGAATACACTATGCCACGCACAACGTACTTGTGATCCAACCTGCAGCAATGTTCAATGACGTCCCAGTGAAATCAACGGGTAAACAGTAGCAATAAGTCAACACAGGTATGTGAATACACTACGCCATGCACAACGTACTCGTGATCCAACCTGCAGCAATGTTCATTGACGTCCCAGTGATGTCAACAGGTAAACAGTAGCAATAGGACAACACAGGTATGTGAATACACTATGCCATTTAGAAAGTGGTCAAATTCTCCCTGCAGTGATTTATTGTATGATAAGCAACTCTCACTCGTCATTTATTTCCTAAATACACATATCATACCAAGGTTCTAGTACATTTGTATGTTACAGTTAGTCTTTCTTCAGGTGTAATTTGAGAAGACTTACCTGAATCCCATTTCATTCAGAAACTGAACAACATTTTCAGAGCAAGCCACATCAAAACATGCTCTGACAAGGGTGGGCCTTGTCTTGTCTCCAATCTCTGTCTGACCGCAGTACCGAATATACCTGGTTAAATAAGAATATTTCATGACAAAACACAACCTCTGGTTCACGTGAGATATACATTCATGCATGCAGTACCGAATATACCTGGTTAAATAAGAATAGTTCATGACAAAACACAACCTCTGGTTCACGTGAGATATACATTCATGCATGCAGTACCGAATATACCTGGTTAAATAAGAATATTTCATGACAAAACACAACCTCTGGTTTACTTCAGATATACATTCCTGCATGCAGTACCGAATATACCTGGTTAATTAAGAATAGTTCATGACAAAACACAACCTCTGGTTTACTTCAGATTACATTCATGCATGCAGTACTGAATATACCTGGTTAATTTAGAATAGTTCATGACAAACCAACACCTCTGGTTTACTTCAGATATACATTCATGCATGCAGTACTGAATATACCTGGTTAATTTAGAATAGTTCATGACAAACCAACACCTCTGGTTCATGTGAGATAAACATTCATGCATGCAGTACCGAATATACCTGGTTAATTTAGAATAGTTCATGACAAAACACAACCTCTGGTTTACTTCAGATATACATTCATGCATGCAGTACCGAATATACCTGGTTAATTAAGAATATTTCATGACAAACCAACACCTCTGGTTCATGTGAGATAAACATTCATACATGCACATAAATAGTTGCAAATTCATATAAAAACATGCTTAAAAAAGGGTTTGCTTCTACTATCATAGAGAATGCCATATAAAAATTATTTTTTAGAAATTCTAAAGTTTTACTGCCACTGAACGATGACATACAAATTATTACAATCAGCCATATCACCCATCCCTGACTGGCAAGCTATGTCTTCCCTTCAATCCAGCTGCACAAACCAGCATATACTATCCAGGGAATATTTCTACTAACCTTTAGAAGTGATGAGGCTTTATGCCATAATAATTAAATTACAAATACTTCATGGCAATTGATTGGCTGATCATGCAAATGATTTTGCGTTAACGCTCCCATAAACTGAAAAGAAATAGGCCATGTCCACTAATGGACAACTGTTTCCTTTTGGGCTGATAATAGAACAGATTTCACTTCAGTTTCTCTTTACTAATTAAATGAGCAGCTTGTGTGATCATCTGTTCTTATTTTATGGATCCTTGCAAGAGCTTAACCTTTGTTACCTAGGTTACCATACAACAGATGCCAACAGTAGAATGATGGTTTACCAAGGAGTGTCTGTATGATCTAGTGAGCGTCGAACTCTGAATAACACAAGCTGACTGCTGGGCTGTGCTGACCCTTCTGAAACAATATACCATGTAAAAAATAACAGTCAGACTGTAGGTTCAGAAAGTATGAAGTAACAAAAAAGAGAACCTATATTTCCATGACAAACCCCGGTTGTAGATTATTATGGTTAAAATATACACAAAAAGAATCACGTAGATAAGTTCCATAGAGTGAGTAAGTTGGGTTTAACGCCTCTTTTAACAGTATTCCAGTTATATCACGGCATGTCAGCTTAATGTTGGAGGAAAGCCCGAAGTGATGCAGGTCTCAAACGTTTACCACTTTGGTGAAACCCACGAGCATGGTTATGGTGCTGACACACCTTGAAACACAATCAGGGCGAACCGGGATTCAAACCCATGATCATAGGTTTCTGGCGTGCCCAAGGGATGCAAGTCTGCAAAGCGAATCGTGGAACCTTAGACGACTGGGCCACCCGTGCCCAAAAGTTCTATAAAGGTGATAATACTGGAAATATTACTGATTCCTCTTTCAACAATTTTCTTTTTAAAAGCAAACAATAAATAAATATATGTGTACATCATGGCATATTAATTCTTAAACACAAAAGTTTTCAAATGAATTCTTGACATGCTCATAAATTAGTAATTTCTCAAAGATGTTCTCAAGAAAACTAAAGAAATAAATAATTTATCTTCCTGCCAAAAAACAACAACTACAATATTAGCTATTTAGAATAAGTAGTATCATCGTAAGAATTGTTAATATCGATAAAGTAGGAGCAGTATGTTCATGGTTTTCATGATGTTGGAAGAGAGATTACCACGAAAGTTGTTTTGTTTGTATGTTTGTTTGTTCTTTAATGCCACACTCGGCAATAATACAGCTACATGATAACGGTCTGCAATTAATCTACTCTGGACCAGACAATCTAGTGATTGACATCATGAGCATCACTCCACACAATTAGGACACAATGACATGCATCAACCCAGTCAGCGAGCCTAACCACCCGATCCCGTTAACCGCCTTGTACGACAAGCATAGTCGCCTTTTACAACAAGCTTGGTGTGCTGAAGACCTATTCTGACCTGGATCTTCACGGGTGCCCAGGAAAGTTAATATGCTCCCACCATGCCCAGTAGTGACACATACATAGCAACATCCATATTATGTTCTGAGAATGTTTATGAATGAACAGTGTTTGAAATTAAGGATGAAGATCAAGGGGTCCTTGTGATAAGCCTACTGCAGAGCTCCAGATAAGCTTTTGGTGTTGTGGGTATTTTACCCATTGGGTATCAGTAATTCTATCTGGGTATTCAAATTTCTGTTACCCACTGGTTTTTACACATGTGGGTATTTAAGTTAAATATTTAAAAACACTATTCATCTAGTCCCTGCAAACTGGTGTCGTGTGGGTTCAAGAGCTTTATAGGACTCAAAAATACCACGATACTTCCACAAGAAAGTGTGATGGCAAATGATCATGATATAACTGTCATCGTGGAGTTTGGCAAGGTTGACGGAATGCCCGTTTATAATTTCAAAATATGTTGCTGATTAGCTAATCGAATACCCAGGGTTAATATTTTGATGATACGCACAAGTTTTATTTTTGTAGCGAATCTGTAATGTTCGTTGCGTATTTGATACGCTTGGATTTTATTTTACTGCGTATTTCTGCATTTTTGATGCGTATTTTACGCAGATACGCAGCTTATCTGGAGCTCTGCTTATTTTTAAAGCTAAAGATTTAGAGGTCTTCAGATTCAAGTACCATGTGTCAAGATCTCAAGGACCCTAGGACTCCCTCTTATTTCAAACACTGATGAACTCATGGAAACAACAACGTACTTAGTGCAAATACCAACTCATGATCGAGGAAAGTTTCTGGGGTGGTCTCAGCGTTGTCACACAGTCCTCGTAGTCGATGCAGCAGCATCTCACGATAGTTGTCGCTGATGCTACCTTGTAGAAGGAACTCCTGCTGTGGGGTGATGTGGTATTTCATACCAAGGTTGTATGTGCTTTCCATGACTAGTAACTGAAAAGAAAGCATCATCAATACAAATTTGCAAACAGTATACCATGTTTGGTTTGTTTGTTGTTTAACCCCACACTCAGCGGTCTGTAAGTAATTGAGTTTGGACCAGACAATCCAGTGATTGACAACATGAGCATCGATTCACACAATTGGGATTGATGACATGCACCAAATCAGCGAGCCTGACCATCCGATCCTGTTAGATGCCTCTTTCGACAAGCACCACACAATTGGGATTGATCAATCAAGTCAGCGAGCGTGACCATCCGATCCTGTTAGATGCCTCTTACGACAAGCACCATGTAAACAATAAGCAGTTAGCTCTACACACCAACTTTGGTTGTTTTTCCTAATATTTAAGAGCAGATATTAAAAAAGGTAGATGTGTGAATGAGTGCAATAGTTGGGTTTAATGCTGCTTTTAACTGTACTCCAGTAATATCATGGCATGTCAGCATAATGTGTGTTAACCACTTTGGGACATGGTGCTGACAAACCTAGAATCCTACAAACTGGGATTTTAAAACCACAATCATAAGTTTCTGATGTTGCAAAAGGACACAAACCTGCACAGCTAATAGTGTCACCATAAACATATTGACGACTGGGCCACTCGTGCCCCTCAATGGTGGCTCAAAAAAGTTGATAACTGATCATAATTATTTATCCTCTTTTATCGAAGTAGTCGTTCTAAATATGTGGACCAAAGGTTGTTGTTGTTTTTGGTTTAACGTTGCACTCAGCAATATTCCAGCTACATGACGGCTGTCTGTGAATAATCAAGTCTGAAGCAGACATTCCAATGATTGATATCATGAGTATTGATCCACACAATTAGGATATGATGACATGCATCAACAAAGTCAACGAGCCTGACCACCCGATCCAGTTAGTTGTCTCTCACCCAAACAGGGCGGTCAGGTAGCCTAGAGGTTAAAGCATTCGCTCGTCACGCCGAAGACCCGGGTTCGATTCCCGACATGGGTACAATGTGTGAAGCCCATTTCTGGTGTCCCCCGCCGTGATATTGCTGGAATATTGCTAAAAGCGGCGTAAAACCATACTCACTCACCCACTCACCCAAACATGGGTGTCTGAAGACCCAAGGGTCTGACTCAAGGGCGGGGTGCAGGGTTTATACATGTATACATTATTTAAACAAAATGTAAATGCAATAAAATCAAAATAATTTTAGGGGAGTAGTGCACTTTACCGTAATGTAATCAGTGCTCGTTTAATGATTTATTAGCACCCCATTAACAAACATGCATAATTCAGTAAACAATGAATTGTGCATGCGTGTGACGTCATGGTCTGCTCTCCCATTCATCTTTTCCTGAAACCACACCCGCCATTGTTTATGTCAACATGACCGACCAATCAGATTAACCTGATTAACGCTTGAAAAGGTAAGAATTTATGGCTAACCCTTGCCCAAAGCAAGCTAACCCTAAGGAACGAAAAGGGGTGTTGGATCTTAAAGATGTGTAAGTTTCCCTAAGACCGAAAACGGGTGTTGGATCGTGAAGCGAGAGTCACCGGAGCGTGAGGCACGGTAATGGTATAGCGAGACAGCGGTGGCACTATAGCGCAGTAATTGAGTGGATGGTAGAGCTCGGGCTGTGCGCGATAAACTGCATTATTGCCAATTTTAGGCCTAAATCATTTCAGATGATTCAAAGAAAAATAATATGACCATTAACCACAGACTGCATTTGCATTCATCTAGTATGTTGTATGTTAAGTGCAACTCTCCTGAATCTGCTCTTGACACTAGTTGCAGGCTTGTACTACAAATGAATAGTGCCGGCGGCAACTTGCCCTAATGTAGCCGAAAGACGGGATGCGGTCCTGCACTGGCTACAGTCAAGACATGTCTACTGTAGACTTCGAGGCTATCGGCTAGGCCCACTGTCAATATTGATAAACTCTTTAATTCAACAACATGGGGAGGATGGCATATGTGAAAACAATGCTAACATCTAGAATATATATTAACTGAATTGAGGACCATATAAAGAGAAAAACATTCTGAAAAATTATTGGGGACACTTGTAAGGCACCAACCAAGTAAGAAAGAAAAGTTCGACCACATTGTAATTCCGCTATATATAGCTCATAACTAACCTTTCCTCGACTCCAAAAGACAGATACTTGGGGAAGGCTCACTGGAAGCCGATGTAAAACCAGAAAAACGCATGCAAAACACACACGTTCTGATCTTTTTGTTTATTTTGGTCGGTAGAACGGAAATGAGTGTATGTGTATCTTTTATCGTTGAAGAATTCTGCCAGGGGAGACAACTCTTCATTTCCTCGCAAATACAGACTGAGATGAGGACTACCGGCTTTTATCGGCGTAACATTGGAATCAGTTAATTTAAATAGAGATAATATATTGATATATGTCTCTGATATCAACAAACTTCAAACTTTGACGGTGCGCAGTACCGCTCTTGATAGCAGTTGTTTTCTTTGATACACGATATGACGCCGTATCTTTGATTACGAGAAACGCATCACGACACCACACGTTTATCCGACTCTTCATATACGTTGTAATTATAACAATATATGTGTGTGATTTACCTATTAGGTCTAATTAATCAAGCTTTCACACTTTGTTTATTTAAAAAAAACCCAAAAAAACATGTTCCAGAAATGTTTAAACAAAATAATTTGTCTTCAGATTAAAAATTAATCAAACCGCTTGACATGCCTGATGTCACGCTAAAAGTGGTTTGTGAAAAATAATGAAATTGTTCAGCTTCCTTTATTCACAGGAAAATGCATGTTTAGAATTATCCTCTTGCCCCCATCCCCACCCCTGTGAAGAATGGTCGCCCTTAGTCATAACATGCATGAGATTTGAAAACTGGGACCTTTAAACTGATTTCCCAAATCCCACAACCACCTCACACAAACGACAAAAGATTTTGGGGTAAATAAAACCATTCTCATGCTTTAACATTATTTAAATACGGGTAAATATTTTCAAAGCTTGTAAATTTTATGAAAATCCTTTAAGAGGCTGTACATAATGTTGATATCTCATATAAGAAAGAAACGACTCGTGGTCGATAATTTATCGTACAATACAACACTGCAAGGAAAATAAACCATGAGGGGCTGGTACATATCCAGAATTGTAACAATCTCTTGCACATGGGACAAAAGCGTATTAACTTCTGAGGAATGTTTCTGCTGACAAAAGTACATATGGCCAACTGATCCAGTTTGTTTGTTTGTAGTTTAACGCCGCACTCAGCAATATTCCAGCTATATGGCAGCTGTCGGTAAATAATCAAGTCTGGACAAGACAATCCAGTGATTGACATCATGAGCATCTATCATCTATCCACGAAATTGGGATCAATGACATGCATAAACCAAGTTAGCGAGCCTGACCACCCGATCCAGTTAGTCGCCTTTTACGGCAATCATGGGTTGCTGTTCTACCCCGGATCTTCACGAGTCTCAACTGATCCAGTAAACCAAGGGGTAGTTTGTGCATTTCGTAAGGTGTAATACTGGTACATTTTTGTTTGTGTATATTACTGTTTTCTACGGGCAGTACCTGAACCGATATTGTAGAACCAAATCGTCTCTGTATGTGCATCATTGTCCACGTGGTCTACAACACCATGAACCCCGTGGGTTAGAATTTGTCTTCAGCAGCCCATGCTGAACCCAGGCGACTAACGGGATCGGGTGGTCAGGCTCGTTAAATTGGTTGAAGCATGTCATCGTATCCAAATTGTGTAGATGGATGCCCATGTCAATCACTGGATTGTCTAGTCCAGACTCGATTATTTCGAGGCCGCCCTTATACAGCTTGAATGTTGCAGAGTGAGGCGTTAAACAAGAAACAAACAAGACGTCTTCAATGCTTGAGTGAGTGAGTGAGTATGGTTTTACACCGCTTTTAGCAATATTCCAGCAATATCACGGCGAGGGACACCAGAACTGGGCTTCACACATTGTACCCATGTCGGGAATCGAACCGGGGTCTTCGGCGTGACGAACGAACGCTTTATCCACCAGGCTACCCCACCGCCCCTTCAATGCTTGAGAGTAAGTAATCTGCAATAGAAGTCAGTAGTAGTCTGTCCTGTTGACAGAAGAGACACCTCTCTTGAATTTTCGTGATGATCGACGTGCATAAACAATTTGAACAAGACACATTTGGTGGCGGACAAGTTATGGTTTGGAGAGGAATGAGTTTGAACGAAACTTTATATAATAAGGAATGTAACTTTGATGCCAGACATGGTGATGAGATTGTCAGCCAAATGTGACAACTGCGTGGATGATAATTTCGTCCGAGTCTATATGTGTGTATGTATTAACCTTAATATTCCTTAGACTGAGCGGCTGGGTAGCCCAGTGGTTAAAGCATTGGCTCATCAACCCGAAACCCAGGGTTCGTTTCACCACATGGGTACATAATGTGAAAATGGGTGTCCACCCGCCATGACATGCTCGGAAAACTTTAAACAATGGCGTAAAACATCTGGCCAACACATTAGTGTTAGAAAGTAAATTGATTTAAGCAGTGATGCGGAATTTGATGGTAAGCTTTCCACGACATTCTTAAAGCGTGACCAAGGCCCGTGGAGATCACGAGTCGTGAATTTATTTTTGACAGGGGTTTCAGTATGTGGAATTGTCACCAAGGTCTTTATACCAAATGATAAAGTCCTCAATATGTCCGATAGTTTCATAGTGATTTCAAGCGATTATCCAAACGCCAATCGCACACAGAACTTCGAGGCATTATCATGCACACTGCACTCATCTTGGTTGTGGGGAAGCTAGACAGCCTCAGACAATTATTAATACTTCAGTTCTATGCAGTCACACGTGTAACTCTGTACATCGACCTATACGAAGCCTATGTGTACTGGGCAACCGTGCCCACGGGAAACACGTGTGACTCTGTACATCGACCTATACGAAGCCTATGTGTACTGGGCAACCGTGCCCACGGAAACACGTGTAACTCTGTACATCGACCTATACGAAGCCTATGTGGAATGGGCAACCGTGCCCACGGGAAACACGTGTGCTAGAAACAGAACACAACATGAGGTTTGTCTTGTTTAATCTATTTAATGCAATTCAGGTATGTAAATATTGCACATACAGCTGCCGGGACTACCGGTCATCGTTGATGGATGTCCCGACAACTCACAGGACACTGGCGGACCACAGGGAGACTAGAAGTAAAGTGAGAGGCGTCGTCAGCGTTGAACTGGTACCTGCAAAGACAACATTGTTGGAGTGAGTTGGGTTTTACGCCACTTTTAGCAATATTCCAGCAATACTACGGCGGGGACACCAGAAATGGGCTTTACACATTGTACCAATATGGGCAATCGGATCGGGGCCTTTGGTGGACTAGCTCTGTTTTGTTTGTTTGTTGTTTAACGTCGAGTACCGACCAGACAATCCAGTGATTGACATGAGCATCGATCCACGCAAATGCATGGGATACGATCACATGCATCAACCAAGTCAGCCTGACCACCGGATCCCGTTGGTTGCCTCTTACGACAAGCATATAGCGCCTTTTATCTTCAGGGGATCTTCAGGGGTAGTCAAATGTTCCTCAAACTCGTTCTAGTTATATATGTCTCTAAGATTGTCTTGAATCAAGTGAACAGCAGAGATACAGATAAGCAGCTTATTTGCGTAAAATACCCCCCCTCCAATATTCAAAACCAAATTACTTTAAAAATGCTTGCGTACAGAAACGCATGCATTAAATGAAAAACTGAAAAGTATAAAAACAGTTCGCGTAAAATACCCAAAGAGCTAATTTACTTTCCGAGTCAAGCCTGTATATTTAGAACAGTTATATACATCTAAACCATTATTTCATACTTTTTTTCAAATCTTAAAATGTTCACTAATTTTGAGAAAAAACCAATCGAGTGATGAAAAGATGAGTGAAAACATTTTGGTTACCCAATGAAAATTGTAATAACCCAATTAAAATAGAAACCCAAGAGTAGAAACTCAATTGCTCAAAAAGTTATCTGGAACACATGCAGTACTCTTTTTTATCAACTACCGTATTCGTCGTAATAAGCGCCAGGGCGCTCTCAGAATTAGAAATAGGGGGGCTCTCATTAGATTATTTTGGTGGAAAAAAACAGAGTTGAAAGATAGTAAATTTCGTGGTTTATATTGACAGCCTGAAATATTCATATACGACAGATATATTTTTCCAGGATGTAATTGCCCATAAATAAGGATGCATATAACACATGGGTGCGTATTATACACGAATAAATAAGTCTTGCGTACATTGATCAATCGGAATGGGTGCTGATTGGGATTGTTCACTAGCCAATATATTAGCAAATATCGCCGTGGGCGCTTATTACGTCGAATACGGTATTCTTCTTGCCTCCAGAGCCTACATTTGTCAGTAAAATATCCAATCTGTTAAAACGGGTTACACTCGAGCGAGTTGGGACTTTCGAGATAGCATTCCATATACACTGACCGACTTCGCACTCCTTATCAATGATGTTTACAGATGATGGAAGAGAGGTCAGGTTTCTTAACTCAGGACAGTCGCCTTTATTCAGCTCAAAACAATCTTCAAACTCCAGAAGCGCTCTGAAAAGACAACGTTTTCTGTAAACACTATACATGTAAGGAAGAGAATTTATGGATGTCAACTTCTTTAAGTCCGTAGAGAAAAGGTCTTCAGCAACCTCTCTTCAAAGACTATACGTTTGTTTTTTAATGCCACTCCGCAATATTAGTCTGTAAACAGTCTGATTCTAACCGGATCCTCACGGGGGTCTCGGGTCAATGATACTAAGCGTACTTCCTAATCATACAAAACGATCATGCAGATCCGTTGTCAGGTATATTACCCTGTCAGACGAATCGTGCTATATCCCGGCTGATGTGATGAGCAACGACCCACGGGGCCAATGGCGCAACCAGCCAGGTCACGTGCACATTATTACCATCCGAAACTCACTAACCCACTTACGAAAAAGGCCCAGAACCCAGTCAGTGAGCGAGCCAATGGTATGCTCCCCTGATTGATATACCGCGACACTGTACCAGGGCCCTTTTCCATTAAGCGACCTATGGTAACGGGGCCTGGTTACACTAGAACTCGACACAACAGAACACCAACCTCGGAGTTCACGACAAAACAAATAAATTTGAAGTGATTCCGTGGCACTTGATTGGCTATTCAAGAAATGTATTCATGCGCGTAAGTTTCCGTGAACCGAAAACATAGGCCACGCCCACCAAACGACTACCGCTTCCTGATAATAAAATGGACGCGGCTTGCGTTGCATTATTAGTGAGTGAGAGTATGGTTTTACGCCGCTTTTAGCAATATTCCAGCAATATCACGGCGAGGGACACCAGAAATGGGCTTCACACATTGTACCCATGACGGGAATCGAACCCGGGTTTTCGGCGTGACGAGCGAACGCTTTAACCACTAGGCTACCCGACCGCCCCTGTTGCATTAAACTGAACAATATCACCGATTCCATATTGTCATCTACAGTTGGAGCGTTAATGCTTAAATAAACAGTCTAAAAAGGTATTGGTGTTGTATTTATTTATAAGAATTAACTTCAATGTGTTATTTTTAATCTTTTTACCTTCATAAACGCAGAACTATTATTGACGTATCCCAATGTTATGGGTTTTCGGACGCTTAAGATACATTCGTAGTTTTCTCTCTAATCATATACACAACTGTAAAACATCTCATTCATTTATAATAGATAACTTTCTCTAAAAGAAAACAAGCAATCATCTGAGTATTTACAATGTATATGTGATCCTACATCCCCCGTTATAACCCGAGTAATCGCGATGAATCATTCGTGACCAACTCGTGTTATTCCGGGACATGCCGAATAATTCAATATCTTCTTGCAGGTTACGGAAAGGGGCGAGTGGTGACGAATGCGCGATGAATGTAGCCGTCCGAAAAACCTATGACCCGACGATGTATTCTCAACAAGAACAGCCATAGGTCGCTACTACGATAAACATGATATGCCGGCATCCCATCACCATGTTCATGGACGACGGTCCTAAGAAAAGCGTACAGATGTACTCACGGACATGGGAAGTAGGTCTCAGAAAACTGGGCATAGGGTTTGAGAGCCAGCGAACAGTTCGCCAGTCCGCCACACCCTGTCTGCATACTCAGGTTCTGGCGGAGATACGGGTAGTACTCGAAGCTCGCTGAAACAGAACAAATACTTTTTTTGGTTTGGTTTGTTGTTTAACGCCGCACTCAGCAATATTCCAGCTATATGACGGCGGTCTGTAAATAATTGTGTCTGGACCAGACAATCCAGTGATTGATATCATGAGCATCGATCCACGCAATTGGGATTCGATGACATGCGTCAACCAAGTCAGCGAGCCTGACCACTCGATCCCGTTAGTCGGCTCTTACGACAAGCATGGGTTGCTGAAGACCTATTCTAACACGGATCTTCACGGGTCGAACAAATGCTTAGTTGAATCGCAGTGTATCAGTAATGTTATGCTATATGTTCAACTCCAGATATTAAAGTTATTACCGACTATTGTTTTGACGGCCAGTGAAGTAAACGATGAGTGAGTGAGTTGGGTTTAACGCCGCCTTGAACAGTATTCCAGTCATATCACGGCGTGTCAGCTTAATGTGGGAGGAAATCCCAAAGTGATGCAGGTCTCAGACGTTTACCACTCTGGTGAAACCTACGAGCACGGGTATGGTGCTGACACACCTAGACACATAATCGGGGCGAACCCACAATCACAGGTTTCTGGCGTGCCCAAGGGACGCAATTCTGCAAAGCGACTGGGCCACACATGGCCCGTATTAATAAGATGAACCCGACTCATCATTGGTTGATAGCATGACTTATGTAATACGTCTACTGCTGGTTACCCGATGACACAAACGTAGCCTTTCGACAGTAACCATCCCTTCCCATATTTTAGTCAGCTGCTCATACTGGTTCACTTGGTAGGTTGCGCTTGCGCTCCATCGCACAGCCAACCTAGGGAACCAGGCTGTCCGCTCCTCAGACCAATTTTGTTTGTTGTGTAACGCCGCACTTATCAAAATTCCATCTACCGGGGTATATGACGGCTGTATGTAAATAATCGAATCGATCTACGCAATTGGGATACGATGACATATCAGACATATCAGCCAAATCGGCGAGACTGACAACCCAATGCTGTTAGTCGCCTCTTACGGCAAGCATGGATTGCTGAAGACCTATTCTCTACCCGGATCTTCACGTGTCCCTAAGAAAAGAACGAGACTTCATTCTCGTATGTCGACAGTAGTCATGTGTGATGAATCGGTTCAAAGCCACATGCGTCACATTTTTAAAAATGTTCAAACTTATATCACAGAGTTTTGGAAAGTGTTTGGAAAAGTGAAATTCAGTAAAATATACCCCATTTCCTTTCAAAAAATAGGTGTTGGAGTAATTTCAAAAGACTACAACAACCACCTCTTCCGGTTAGAGCTAGGTATATACAGTTACCATAACGTTCCTTCTTGTTATAAAACTGGTCGAAGAGATTGCTGTAGTTGGCCGGAATGGTTATAACACCAGGCTCCTCCTTTGAACACAGACTTGCACGGGCTGCCTTCATCTTCACCAGTTGTTCCTCGTTACTATCAGGGTGGGTATGCTCAGTCGTATCTGGTGAGGACTGGGTGGGGGATTCAGAAGTTGGCCCTGAGGGAGAAGTTGGCCCTGAGGGAGAAGTTGACTCCGTGTCCGCGGGTGGCCCAGTGGATGTTTCTGTCGAGCTGCTTTGGTCGACAGTGGAGGTCGCAGCCCCATGGCATTCAGTCACCTTGTCCTCAACACATGCCAGATAGCGGGCATATTTCCTGTACACAATAATATATACCAGTGAGTTCCCCATACAATCATCAATGTGACTTCACCAGAAACAAAACGTTTTTATTAAATATATTTCTTTCAAAGGGAATATTGATCAGATGATTTACTTCAATAAGGATACAGGCTGCCCTGTATTTGTGGGAAAATAATCCAAAAGTATATCCCTTATTACGTTGAGAGATCCTTGAAAGTAAATATTTCCCTCGAAATACTACTGTGCACATTGACATTTAGATCTAGTTAAGAATCGGTCTGATCAGTGATCACCTACCTACGGAAGCCTATTGGAGTCAACAACCTGACATTCTGTTTCTTTTCTGAAGCAGGAGATACTAAACTCGTAATAAAGTTTTGACTTTAATAGGCTTTCAGACCTACCCGCAGTTCAGTTTTCGTTCATGTAGCAGTTGCAAAGTCAGCACGAATTTGCCATTGCAGTGATCAACCGCTGGGCATTCTTTGGTCAGTGGGGCGCTATGCAGATCTGTTAACACGAAAACAATAAATAAAAATAAACATTACGGTAAGAAGACGACCATCATGTCATGCTACAACATATGCAGTGTCAAACTATACATTCCGTACAGGGGAAATGCTATTAGCACATTGAAAAGAAAAATGATGTAAGATTTCTTACCTGAGAGTTCTAACAGGAGAAATAAAACTACAATATATGTTGACATATTCTACTGGAATCGGCTACACAATAGTTTCAGTTGATTTGTTTCAGTTTAACCTTTCACGTCCACAAGCCACCAACACTGCTGCCCATGCGCATCCTGCGCACGTGAAACTCGTGCGACATTCAAACTGGCGCGTTTCTACGCCATGTCCATATAAGGTAGGAAAATAGTTCAAGGGTAAATCTATATATTTTTAATCAGGTATGCTCTAAATTGCCCATTTCGGTATCCAACGCGCACTTTAAACAGGTTACACGCTATTCAGGTAATATCGTGTTTTACTGTCGCACACAAAACCTATTTTGTTTGGTTTTACATTGTCCAGTTGAAGGATATTCACGTTAACAAGCTCGGGGGAGGGGAGGGGAGGGGAGGGGGCGCAGTTATGATGGAAAATCTATTTCATTCTTATTTAATTAGTCCGCCTTGGGATTCAGACATGATTGCTATAAAGACAAACGCTCGCATATAACTTGTCTACAGCAGTGCAGATAACTTGTTTTCCAACACAGACACCACGTTGGAAATCCGGGTGAGAATTGGTTCCCAGCAACCTGGGATTGTCTGAGAGGCGTCTTATTAGATCGGGTGGCCAGGCTCGGCGACTTCGTCAGTGGTATCGTGACGGCGTAAGACGGTACTCATAATATCAATCACTATATATTTTATCTGGTACTCACTCGATTGTTTACAAGGCGCCTTGATAAAACTGGAACTTAGCGGCGTTAAACAAAACCTACAATTTAATTAGTGGCAAGCATAACTCAATAGGAAAACAATCAGTTCTTATTCTCTAAAGTATTTGGCGTTGTTAACTTGGGACTATGGGACTTGATTTTTGTTTGTTTGTTTAACGCCGCGCTCAGAATTATTCCAGCTATATATGACGGCGGTCTGTAAATAATTGAACCTGGGCCAGACAATCCAGTGAATGATATCATAAGCATCGATCCACGCATTTGGGATACGATGACATGCATCAACCAAGTCAGCGAGCCTGACCACCCGATCCCGTTACTCTCCTCTTACGACAAGTACAGTCGCCTCTTACAGCAAGCATGGTTATACAGCAATTCAAACAAATTATTGTTTGCGTTTCCAAGGCAACACGTCGAACATAGTTTCAAATAAGAGGTGAACGCATAAGCTGTAAATGTTCAATCATACATGTGCAACTTTGCATAAAAAGTCAAACAAGTGTTGTAGTGTGTAGATATCGCTTGATCTCATCCAAGCGATATCTCCTGTGGGAGCCAGTTTTGGATGATAAATATCGTATTGCTATTTTGTGCCAATCATAGAGCTGCTTAATCTCCGTATTGTTTGGTTGCAATTGCTCCATTTAGCGTTTGATTACACTTGTGAAATCTGTCACTATTTGTTGAAGTTGTTATCAAGAAACAAAATGTATAAATGCACTAATTTACTTGTACCAACTGTCTACACTGATATGACTCACGAGTTCTTAAATTGGATGCGAAGACAAATAAAGTGGTATGCCAAGAAGTGGGGGATTGGCACCCTCAACCAAGTGAGCGAGGGACTGAGAGTGTGTGTGTGTGTGTGTGGGGGGGGGGGGGGGGGGGGGGGGGGGGTGAGGGGGGGGTGAGGGTTGGTTGGTTTGTTGTTTAACGCCGCACTCAGCAATATTCCAGCTATATGACGGCGGTCTGTAAATAATCGAGTCTGGATCAAACAATCCAGTGATTAGTATCATGAGCATCGATCCACGCAATTGGGATCGATGACATGCATCAACCAAGTCAGCGAGCCTGACCACCCGATCCCGTTTGTCGCCTTTTACGGCAAGCATGGGTTGCTGAAGATCTATTCTACCCCGGATCTTCACGGGTCGGGAGAGTGAGTGGAGTGAAGAAAATAATATTTTGGACAATACACCTTTTAAAAGCCCATGCTACAAGGCCTAAAACCTAATTAGTTTTAAATATTTAAAGAGACATACTTTTTGACATCCCAAGGTACATCAGGTAAAACCCTGAGGACACCTGCTCGATTCCAATGTTTGATGCTGCAGTCAAATCTCCTCCTATGGAAAGGTAAGGTCTGCATTAACTCATCGACATTTGTTTTAAGTGATCAGCACAAACCAACCAAATCCTAGACTCTTGGCTTTTCAACAAAGTGCACATGCCTGGAAATCTGTGAAGAAAGTGTTATTTAAACACACACTTGAGAAACATTGGACAGTCCTTATTTCCTGTTTTAACAGGTATGCTACTGGTAGGGAAGGACACGATTACCCCTTTTGCGAACACCTGGTGTCATCGCTGATTTTCAGTGATCCATTCATATAATTTTCCCTTTTATTTCGTCTGTTTCGTGGAATATTCGAAACAAGTTATTCTCTCGCGTTGACCTTATATATTTACAGGCTTCCAATATTCAGTAATATTAAACTAAGTATTAAGATTGTTACAAAGTATTATATATAAATCTAATTTCCAAACCGGAAATTCTTTATTCCAATTTTTAAATTTTAGGTTCTATGTTAATCTTTAGTAATGTCAGTAAATTCTGAACACATGGACTATTGTCAGCTAACTAGATATACTATACATGCTACACCAAGTTGAATTTTACTAGAATAAGGTTCCAGATCTCTTTGCTCTTGAAACCATCTATTGTTGTTGCAGTTGATCCTGAGCCAGGAATTCACTGGCCATGGTGTAGTTATGGCATTATGATGACGTCACTAGTGTTGTTGCAGTTGATCCTGAGCCAGGAATTCACTGGCCATGGTGTAGTTATGGCATTATGATGACGTCACTAGTGTTGTTGCAGTTGATCCTGAGCCAGGAATTCACTGGCCATGGTGTAGTTATGGCATTATGATGACGTCACTAGTGATGTTGCAGTTGATTCTGAGCCAGGAATTCACTGGCCATTGTGTAGTTATAGCATTATGATGACGTCACTAGTGATGTTGCAGTTGATTCTGAGCCAGGAATTCACTGGCCATTGTGTAGTTATAGCATTATGATGACGTCACTAGTGTTGTTGCAGTTGATCCTGAGCCAGGAATTCACTGGCCATGGTGTAGTTATGGCATTATGATGACGTCACTAGTGATGTTGCAGTTGATCCTGAGCCAGGAATTCACTGGCCAGTGTGTAGTTATGGCATTATGATGATGTCACTAGTGTTGTTGCAGTTGATTCTGAGCCAGGAATTCACTGGCCATGGTGTAGTTATGGCATTATGATGATGTCACTAGTGTTGTTGCAGTTGATTCTGAGCCAGGAATTCACTGGCCAATTCATAACATGCATTTTAACAAGTGAACACTACACAACTATAGATGATTATGCAAATTTATAGATGTAACAAATGTTATTATTGGGACAACACTTTCTTAGTAAAGTACAGATTCTAGTACTTTTCTAGGTTGAGTCCCATTCGGGATTCGAACCCACACTTCCAGAGTAAGGCAACTAATCGTCCACACAACAAAAGTCAGCGATCTAACCCAGTCCAAAAACTGGTATCCCAAATATAACATTTGTTACATTTGACCACTTTCTAAATGACATTGTGTTCATAGCTTTTGGCCATGCCAACTTACACTTGTCAGATGGGTACACAATGTATGTTTTTTAGACTACTGGATCTAGCGATTGGGTGCCTCACTCTGGCAGTTTGGGTTCGAATCCTGGATGGGACTCACCCCCCAAAAAGTACTAGAATCTGTACTTTACTAAGAAAGTGTTATCTCAAATATAACATTTGTGTCACATTTGGCCACTTTCAAAATAGTATTGTGTTTTCACAAATTTATAGAGAAATTACATATCAACCAAAACCTGGTTTATGTGGGAGAAATCACTCAAATCTGTTTATTCCGTGTGTAGAAAAAACTTTCGGAATCAATAGTTTTCCGTGAAGATCCAGGTTAGAAGTGGTCTTCAGCAACCCATGCCTGTCATGAGAGGCCCATGGTCAGGCTCGCTGACTTGGTTGATGCATGTCAGTGAAGATCGATGCTCATAGATTGTCTGGTCCACACTCGATTATTTACAAGACCGCCTTGCCTTCATATAGCTGGCATATTGCTGGATGGGGCGTGAAACAAACAAACAAACAAACAAACAAACAAACAGTTATCAATATTGCTCCATTATTACTGAATACTGAAGACCAAGCCATGGTGATCTCAAGCTAGCAATCTGACTTACAAGAAAACAAGCACTGATTTTGTATGTTTATAAAAAAAAGTAATTATGACATGGTCTTGAGACATTTCATTTTTGTTACATATCATTCATGATAAAGTGATCAACACTGCCTACAGTTGTGACATGGACATACAAAGATAAAGAACTACCCGACACCTACAGACTACCTTTTCTACAAATACACAAGCGCAATATTTTACCCTACTGCCTGTACCCATCACTATAATTCCCAGTATGAGTGCCCCCATATTCTTTTCCATGTCATAATAACAAGTTCATTTATGAATTACGAAAAGTATATAAACTCTGTAATATATTATGCGATTTATTCAAGATAACTTTAAAAAAATAATTTTATGTTGAAAACATGAGGACTGATGTCTGGAATACCTGTCTTGAATAAACTCAGCAAAATGTGTAAATGTCCAAAATTTGTAACAAGCACCCAAACCTTGCATCGTTTGACTTCTGACTTAGCAAAATGCTCAAAATTATGTTACAGTATATAAACAAATCTTTTATATTACAGTTTAACACATAGAAGTGAAAAGACAGGTACAGTTGGCAGACTTAGTATGAACCTCTGAGGTAAACATGTGAAACACTACATTGAACTGTAGTGCAAAGCCCTTTAGTTTAATAGGTCAGAGGGGGGACGGGTGGCCCAGTCGTCTAAGGCGCCGCGATTCGCTGTGCAGAGTTGCGTCCCTTGGGCACGCCAGAAACCTATGGTTGTGGCCATCAGTGCCCCCAACATTACCCCCAGTGTTTCAGTATTGAGTTTGGATGAGGAAATAATATTTCAGGTTGGCAGGAAAAATATTAGCATCGGTCTGGGGGCTGTTTATTGGAAAAGAAATGTATTTCAATACATTGGGGTACAGGTATCTGTATTGAGATATGTGTTGTGAATTGTTTGTGAGCAAAAACATTTGACAGTGATTGAAACGGATTGTACATGCAGATCCTATTTTCTACATACTAAAGTAAGTATTATTCATCATGGACACTCCCACCATTTTGTAGGGGACAGGGGAGATAACAATGTGAGAGAAAAATCACATTCATGCTTCCTCTGTTTTGTCAATCTATTTCGGAATGAATTTCTGTGTAGATGATAGGTAAAATGATAATAATTTCAGGGTTCACTCTGCAAATTTTCTGACATGAACCTTTTATGTGAAACTTTCAAATATTCCAGAGGTACACCCACACTTGCCCATACAGCACAATGTTAAAATGTCCCATTGTATTTGAAAATGTGGGCTTTCTTTCAAATTTAGGGGCTAAAAGCACAAGGCCTCACCCTAGAGTTATCCCTGTAATTTGACATATTCTTTTACCCAATATACTGACAAACATCATTTGAAAAAGCTTACTGCGGTATACCAGTCATACTGTGCAATCCTGGGGGCATGGGTGGCCCAGTCGTCTAAGGCGCCGCAATTCTCTGTGCAGAGTTGCGTCCCTTGGGCACGCCAGAAACTTATGATTGTGGGTTCGAATCCCGGTTCACCCCGATTATGTTTCGAGGTTTGTCAGCACCATACCCATGCTCGTGGGTTTCACCGAAGTGGTAAACGTCTGAGACCTGCATCTCTTTGGGCTTTCTTCCCACATTAAGCTGATACGCCGCGATATAACTGGAATACTGTAAAAAGCGGCATTAAACACAACTCACTCACTCACTGTGCAATCCTAGTACTGGGAAACATGAACAACAACAACAACAACAAAAAATCATGATCATGCATACAGATGAACAACTTGTATGGATGATAGTTAAAGACCATCTGGAATAATCCTTGTAGACATACAGTGTAGGGGATTATTAGGGGAAGGTAAGGTGTCATTTCTCATTCATTCATCATCTCTTTCCACTCTTTGTTGTTACATTTTCACTGTTTTCATACCAGTCAATCTTATCCGCAATGTCAACTGTGTAAACATTGTCTTCTTTCACATCATAGTCAACCAACTCATCACTGTCAACCATTTCCTTCTTGTGAGACATGTCATCATAATTATCATCACCACTGTCAACCTCATCATAAATATTACTATCATCACAATCATCATTGTCAACCACATCATTTGGATGGATGTCATCATCATGATCATACATATTACTTTCATCAACATCCACATTCTGGCTTATATTGCCTTTGTTGACAACACAGTTCTCGGAAAAATACTCCTCTACAATCCCCTCTTCATCAACATCAGTGACAACACTGTCAACAACAGCATCATTATGCAGACCACCATCACCATCCACAATATTTCCAATGTCAATATGGCTGCCAGTGATGTCCTTATTGCTTGATACAGCCTTGACCTTGGCTGGTCTTCCCCTGGTGCGCGGTTTGCAAATCCCCAACATGATCCTGGTGTGATCCTTCATATGTTTACGGAAGTCGGAATCCCATTTGAACTTCTTGCCGCATGTCTCACACTTATGTCTCTCTCCTGTGTGTGTCCTCAGATGTTCCTTGAGAATGGACGTGCGTGAAAACTTCTTGCCACATTCCCCACAAATGAAGGGCTTTTCTTGCCTGTGCTTTGCCATGTGCTGGTTGATGCTTGATGAATATGCAAATGACTTGGGGCACAATGTGCACTTGTGAGGGCGTTCCCCCGTATGAACACGCATGTGTTCAGTCAGGTTGCTGGAGTCACTGTAAGCCTTCTCGCAAAGTGAACATTTAAACGGTTTCTCTCCAGTGTGGGACCGAATATGTCTTGCAAGGTTATCTGAAACTGTAAACGCTTTTCCGCAAATTTCGCACTTGTATGGCTGAACCCCGTTATGGTATTTGATATGTCTGGTTAGGTTGCCGGAAGTCGAAAACGCTTTATCACACAGGTGACATTTATATGGCTTCTCCCCCGTGTGCACTCTCATGTGTCTGGTCAGGTGTCCCGACACCGAGAAGCGTTTATCACACACGTCACATGTGAAGGACCCCAGCCCCGTGTGCAGTTTCATATGTCGGTCAAAGTTCGCTGGGGTTGAAAACGTTTTATCACATACAGTACACTGGTGTGCCACCTTCTTCCCATGCTTCTTTAAGTGTTTCTGTAGGCGCTGATTGCTGCTGAAGTCTTCGCTGCAGAAGCTACACGTGTACTGTGTCATGGCGTCAGTCTCCATTCTGGTGCTGTATTGACCCTGGATCTGTGTCGTTAAGCTCTATCACAGAAAGTTCTATACAGGATGACAATCCTCTTTATTACCATTGGTAACGTTGGTGAGTAGAATCCTTGAAGATTTTCCAGAATGAACTCACAGAAGTTCTGAAAAAGATTATGAATATACAAATGAATATTTACGAACATAATTATCATGATCATGGTTTTACGTGACACACAAATGTGTGTCCAGTACACACAAATGTAGAGAATGGACACAGAAAAAAAGAAATACTGTGTCCCGAGAGACGCACAATAACAGGGCATCAAGACCAGTTATGGGTATCTGTTTTTTCATCCTTCAATCCTGACCACTGTCCACATGATCATTGAGTCATTCCAGGCTCTGAAGTAATTATCTAAATGTACAGTACACTACAATAATACATTACTTTACAGGACCCTCATATTGCCTGCAAGGACCCTTAAAATCAATTATAGGAAAGCCCACTTGTGTAAGTCAAGGTAAAAACCCTGCATGATTATACTGGAGGTGAGGTGAAACAGAGTTTAGTTTAATGTCGTGTTCTAGGTTATTGCACCTTGAGTGGGTGAATGAGTGTTAATCTGTGTGTGTGTGTGTGTGCGTGTGCACGAGTGTGTGTGTTTGGACTAATGCCCCAGTTTAACATGGATACCCAACTCAGACACAGTATACTGAATCTGAGCCGATTAGTCCTTGTTTTATTCACTTAATACCCCTCTACAGGCAGACACGCTATCCACTTGACCACGGATGCAGTTTGATTATACTAGAAGTGTACAGGGATGTGAAGATTCCGGGGTAGAATAGGTCTTCAGCAACCCATGCTTGCCGTAATAGGTGACTATGCTTGTTGTAAAAGGCGACTAACGGGATCTGGTGGTCAGGCTCGCTGACTTGGTTGATGCATGTCATCGATCCCAATTGCATGGATCGATGCTCATGATATTAATCACTGGATTGTCTGGTCCAGACTCGATTATTTACAGACCGCCATCACATTGCTGGAATATTGCTGAGTGCTGCGTTAAACAACAAACCAACCAACCAACAGGGAAGTGAGCAGGTTTCCCCCAAAAAAGAGGATAAATCTAGAAATTTGTAAAACAAATGATTGCATTTTAACCAATTATAAACAACATTCACACCAAGAAATGTAATAAGTCAATGACAAAAGTCAAGTGACAAAAACAAAACACCACTGCAAACATAAGACATATATCCCTGTGTTATTGGTTTTCGGACGCTGAAAAAACATTTTCAGTTTTCTCGTTTATCACATGAACAACTGTAAAACATATCATCCACTTATAGGCTAAAAGACAACTTTATCTTAAAAACAAACCATCTTCTGAATATTTACAATTTCTGTGTGATGCCACATCCCACATTATAGTGCAAGTATTTGTGATAGAAAACGTATGATCCGACGATAATAGTATTGTGTCATAAATAACAATAAAGGTATATATGATGCTGAAAGCTCTGATCAAAAACAGCATAAACTGCGAGGGTTGTCCGGAAACATGATAATATATTTTGGAGTATTTTTTTAAAAATCTTTGATTATATTTTTACGAGGAAGATGACTTTTTCCGAGGACTACTGTTTTAAAAAACGTGATTTTCAGCGCTTCCGCCGAGATTTCACATCCCTGAAACTACTACATGCATACCTAGGCATGGCTCCAGGCATCAATGAAAACGAGGATGCTAGAGGTTGTGTACCTATCATCATCCTAAACCACACACGCCTAGGACAGTGAAATGTTTGTTAAGGGGAACAAAAGGGATATATTACTGTGTGTAATCAGGTAGGGTACCAGGTACCTTAAACGGCAGCCGAGTCCATATTCCCCAACCCAAAACCGGAACCGGTTCATGTTGTAGTTCAGGTTCACCTGATTATGAGTGCATGTGTGCATCGCGGAATATTGCAGGAATATTCGATTACTGTACGTACGCCACGAGACATTCAACTTCAGAAGATAATCCAAAGTTCCTCCTGACGAATGTGTACTGCCATGTTGAATTGAACCACGGTTCATCATACAGGAAGTGATGAATACCTAAGGAACAGGATACCCGCATTGCGCCCTGCTACCCTGCAGCGGAATGGATTCATCCTAGGGTACGTTTCCGATTTTGATTTTGGCTAGGGTACATTTCTGTAGTACGTACTTGTGCAGACAACGACCCCTTCCGCGATAGTGGCAGCTTACTAACACAGCATGCATAGGACTTGTACGTTTGTTGATGACATATGATATTGGCAGTCTAAAGTAGTTGTAAAAGAAAAACAACCCAACCCACAAATTAACTCAGCTAAACTTTTCAAAGTCTATTAGTATGAGAATCACTAGTAAGACGCTATCAGACAATGGTAAGCGTTCATCCTCATTAAGCTTTTCTTTTCAATTCTCACATTATAAATAAGCCGAATTGTAATTGTTGAAAGTAAATACATGATTATACTTTTTTTTTCTTCATAATCTTTAATCTAATCAGTGATGTAAATGCCTGATCATTCATTTGCAATATTATTCACTGCTATTTGATGAACGAAAATAGGACAACTAATGATATTGATAGTTAATATGACGACTACGCTTCAGCGGCGCAGTGGTTTGTCAAGGTGCATCCTCCATATAGTGAACAGTAGAGAGATTACTTGTGTTCACATACATCCATTCGCCTAAGGCTTAAATCGATACACAAATCGTACTTAGTCAGTCGTTACCATCCTGCTGCCCTGTCCTGTAATGATGGGGAGACAATTCTGTCAGCACTGTAGTGTTTCAAAATCTGTTGTCATTGCACCGTTTCATCGGTACGCGTAAGTTCGATTCCCATATGCTTTGCGCACTCCTTTTGTGGTTATTGAATTGCGTTTTCCGAATGACATCATTCGCCACAAAGCTTCTTTGATATAAAAATAGTTTTATTTTTTTATGATGCATTTTATATTTGAACAAAATATTTCTTTAAATTGATGCACGTTGAATTTGTATCCAAGAAGGGAGTTAATAAGATCTATTTATCACTGTTGTTGTAACCCTTTATATAACAGATTCCAGGGTGGTTAATCGTCCGTCCAGTCTTGAGATACGCTGTGTTCCTTGCGTAACATAAGTTCGATCACATAAACAATCCCGCGCAGTTCTAGCGGAAAACAAAGCAAGCATAAACAAAGAAAACAAAAGCTCACCTAAATTACTGTTTCTTAGCCTCAATTTTGGCAAAGTTCCATTGAAATCCACTGTCAGATCGATCGATACTTCGCCCGCCATGTTTCCTAATTCTGTGCTTCAAAATCGCTTACCCTCTCTTCCAAACATTACCGAAACATTGCGAGTTTTCCTGGAATGCGTGCATTAATATTTATAACGTCACAGGATGTGTCAGTCGGACAGTGACAATAGCCAATATAGTTCCAACTGAAATCTGTTTCTTATTATCTTATACAGTGCCGTCGTCACGATATGGCTGAAATATTGCCGATGTGACGTAAAGCATTAACTCACTCGCCCACTATACAGTGGCGAAGCAACATATACGCAAAACAACAATTGTTTTTAATTGCCTTTCGCGGCAATCCATCGGTCTGTCCGCTAGAGTAGCTGCCCTTTGTCAAAGGGAAGCTACTCTAACCCTAGTTTATGAGACGTCACGGCCACGGTCCGACGTTGTTGACAGTCGGTCTGTCCTGTCACAACGTTAAGAAGTGTACTTCCCTTTGACAAAGGGCAGTTACTCTAGCGGACAAACCCATGATTGCACTGAAATGCAAGTAGGAACACTTGTTGTTTTGGGTATTTGTTGCTTCGCCAGTGTATAAGAAACAGATTTCAGTTGGAACTATATTGGCCACTGTCACTGTCCGAGTGACACATCACTTACCCTGTGACGTAATAAATATTAATGCGCGCATTCCAGGAAAACTCGCAATGTTTCGATAAGGTGTGAGAGAGGGAAAGCGATTTTCAAGTACAGAATTAAAGAATGACATAAAAGGTTGGCACGCTTGTGTGTTTGGGGATGATAAATATCCTGTATTAGGAATAAACATTATGTATTTAGCTTGCCAAGGCTAGCTAAATACAATGTTTATTCCTAATGCAGGATATTTACCATCCCCGAACACACTCGCGTGATAACCTCTATGTCCGTGAATACATTTTATCAATGTCACATTGTATATTTGCAGGGAGTCAAATTGTCGTATATATTTATCAAACTGCAATGTCTAGGTCGCTTCCTTGATTAATTACACAAATAATTAACAATCACAGATTAAATTGTTAACTGTTTAGGTATGGTCGTTTCAAAGTGATTGATTCTATTACCCAAAATAGCCACCCCCCATGAATGGAATTGATGGCCCCATTGTTAAAGAAGGGAATCGGGAAAGACTTATCATGTGTGATTTACTGTTAAATGCAAAGGTCCTTATAAAGCTTTATGTTTCTCGAATGACACCTGTTAATCCTGCTTTTCGGGTGCCATAGAAAGTCGGCAAGGAAATATCTAAAATCACCTTGAATGAGAAGAAAACTTTCCCTTACACTAAGACCTTATCAGAATATAACATGTATATACATGTTTAGCGTTTTTTATTCATGAACATCGACTCGATGTATACATGACAATGCTCATCCACAGCAGTCAGTATCATGTGATATGGTCCAACCTGGAACCTTTTTATCTTAAACTGTTTCTTAAAGTTGATTAAAATCACATGCAATATTATGTCCCTTGGAGAATGTAGTGGAGCTCATCTGCAATTAACTTACATGACAAGAGCTGTGAAATACACCTAAGCTCAGATAGACTTCCATACCATGCAGTGTTATAAGACGTTAACTGCATAATATGATACTGGCCGGGCCATCTAGACCATCCACATTTAGACTATTCTATGTGACTTTTTATGCTTGTATGGACAACCCAGGATATTGGTGATAAAAGAATCTTTATATCTATGTTCAAATATAGCCTTTTTTGACAACTACAACAAACCCAGTGCAGTAAAGTCAACAAACTAACCAATTCATATTCTTATAAACAATTCAAATGACTTTTAAATTTTGAAACTTATTGAAATGTGTCTGTGCCTGTTCATCTAGGACTGTTCATCTTATCGTCTTCCACCTCACGTGTCCTCTGTCCATCGTATTGTGACAGTATTATCCTTCTGTTGTCATTACTTACTCATGTTATCCCACTCATGTATGCAATTGTTGTTACTGTTAATCCTCCACTGTTAATCCTCCACCTACTATAAACGCTCTGTGCCATGTTCACCATTCAGTCTTGCTTGACAAGGGTATAATGAACTGTCGCCTTTACAGTAATTAAAGAACTTGTTAGCCATAAATTGTGTTTACTTTGTATTAGATATTGTCTTATTTGACCCATTTCATTTTTCTATTTTAATCCCTCACAGTCCAGATGTGAAACAGCATTGTGACAATCGTTCTCTGGTTTCTGTTAGGGAAGACGTTATCTCGTCTCCCTCTGGGGCGGTCGGGTAGCCCAGTGGTTAAAGCGTTCGCTCGTCACGCCGAAGACCCGGGTTCGATTCCCGACATGGGTACAATGTGTGAAGCCCATTTCTGGTGTCCCCCGCCGTGATATTGCTGGAATATTGCTAAAAGCGGCGTAAAACCATACTCACTCACTCGTCTCCCTCTCATGGATATAGCCTTGGTTTCCATACTTCTTCTTCTCCTACGGTGGCATCAAACTATGTGGATTGTGATCACCGTATTATCCTGTCCAACCTGCAGTATCTCAATGAATCTCGACCTGATTTGTGGCGTCGTCTCACCGCTCAGAGATACTGGTATATTATTGTACTTCGTGACAAAGTCATCTTTGCTGTTAATGATGGTTGGTTGAATGCAAGATTGACGTATGGTCTTAAATCGTGAACTTGTACCCTGCAAAAACTAAGTACTCTTAGAATGGTGTGTGTGTGTGTGTGTGTGTGTGTGTGTGTGTGTGTGTGTGTGTTTTTGTGTGTGTGTGTGTGTGTGTGTGTGTGTGTGTGTGTGTGTGTGATTTGTCATTGGAACTCAATCTTAGTTTTTAAAACATTGAAGTTAAAATCAGTTAGAAATATGTAATATTTCATTAATTAACAAACTATTTACTATTTGTTGTTGACCAGCGGGGATAACGGGGTTATGTGAGCTTTGCTCACTTCTTTCTTGTTATTATTCTGTATGATGTGTGTAATTTTCACCAAAGGCTTTTATACTGATTAAAAGGTAATTATTATTCTGTATGATGTATGTAGTTTTGACCAAAGGCCTTTATACTGATTAAAAGGTAATTATTATTTTGTATGTGTGTGTAATTTGGGCCAAAGGCCTTTATACTGATTAAAAGGTAATTATTATTCTGTATGTGAGTGTTATTTGGGCCAAAGGCCTTTATACCGAATCTTTCTGTCTGACCGTCCGTCCATCCGTCCGTAATTGAACACAATTGTACAATTGTATTGGCATATTACAAAATCCAGAAGTAAAACATCACTGGAGTATGACGTCGACGCCAGTGCCTTCATTTAAATCAGCTGATCGTGTTTTAAAATGAGATTATTTACGTCCGTGAGTGAATATTGTTTTATGGCAGTGCCATCAGTGTTCAAGTTCTAACACACCGCCGGTCCAGTGACCCGCGGGGCACACGCTGTAACCAGACCCTCATTTTAGTCGGGGTGATGGCGACCTATTCTGTCAAGAAATATATAAAAGTTAAAATAAGTTCTACTTGCCAAAGACTTCATCTGGTGCAGAAGTGATCTATAATTAACCCTCTCTGTATGACCTTGTCTTCGGTTGAACAAAGTGTTTACTTCATGCAGGGTGATGAATGACTTAAACCTCTTGCTGCATTAGTCTTCTCCATGTTTCACAGAAAGCAAAATTATGTAAGATGAGCTATACATCACAAATAGCAAATAGTTCTAGATAAGTGATCTCATCTTCACTTACATTTTATGAATGAAAGTATGTATAGTTGTAGCATGTATATGCTGAGTTGTACTGTATGGCTGTGTTGTGTTGTACTGTATGGCTGTATTGGGTGGTTGTACTGTATGGCTGTGTTGTTTGGTTGTACTGTATGGCTGTGTTGTATGGCTGTACTGTATGGCTGTGTTGTATGGTTGTCCTGTATGGCTGTGTTGTGTTGTACTGTATGGCTGTGTTGTGTTGTACTGTATGTCTGTGTTGTGTGGTTGTCCTGTATGGCTGTGTTGTGTTGTGCTGTACGTCTGTGTTGTGTGGTTGTTCTGTATGGCTATGTTGTGTTGTACTGTATGGCTGTATTGGGTGGTTGTACTGTACGTCTGTGTTGTGTGGTTGTCCTGTATGGCTGTGTTGTGTGGCTGTACTGTATGGCTGTGTTGTGTTGTGCTGTATGGCTGTGTTGTGTTGTACTGTATGGCTGTGTTGTATGGTTGTACTGTATGGTTGTGTTGTCCTGTATGGCTGTGTTGTATGGTTGTCCCGTATGGCTGTGTTGTGAGGTTGTCCTGTATGGCTGTGTTGTATGGTTGTCCTGTATGGCTGTGTTGTATGGTTGTCCCGTATGGCTATGTTGTGTTGTACTGTTTGGCTGTGTTGTGTTGTACTGTATGGCTGTGTGGTTGTACTGTATGGCTGTGTTGTGTTGTTCTGTATGGCTGTGTTGTGTGGCTGTACTGTATGGCTGTGTTGTGTGATTGTGCTGTATGGCTGTGTTGTGTGGTTGTACTGTATGGCTGTGTTGTGTTGTACTGTATGGCTCTG